ATGAAGTGTTAAGTGTTGAGTTACAATATTAATCTCTTACTGCATAAAGTTACAAAAAATTATCCCTTTCCTATATATATTCACACAACTTTTGCCTCATTACTTCAATGTATAATCTGCTGTTCTACAGGTAGACCATTGTTGGGTTTGATGTTAATTAATTTCATGCGTAAATTTTCTCTTCACTGGAAGAAGCACCCATCTATGCTGACAATACTATTGATTATTCTGAGCATTTTTTAGTTGTCTAGCTGCTGCTTATTTTCACATTTATCATTCTTTTTACACTCCACTTCTCACAAGTCTTCATGTGAAACATGTTGAAAAACTTATATAAGTCCAATGCAGTAATTACTACCAGTAGCGCTAAAGTAAACGTGGATTCGTGTTTACTCAAATGTGAATCTAAAAATGTTAATTAATTGAAGAAAAACTCTTCTAATTTTTTTATAATATTTAAATTAATGTGGATTTTTATTTTATTTTCTTGGGCTAATAATTTTATCATAAAGACTGCACTGTGGAACATGGCCTTGAGCATTTACTACTGAGTTATTATTTTTTTGAGATGTTGGTTAACCTCTAACTCTGAGCTTATGTTCCATAGTTCATTTGCAACCTACGACCAACTTGGGAACAACAAGCCCTTTACCCAACCCATCCCTCTAAGAGTATGATTTTCTAAACTTATTTCTTTATTTTATAGATATTTTAGCAATATATCACTTATTCTAATAAAAGGGGTGGCTTAGTTCATAATACTCCCACCCTTTTCTTAACATATCGCTAATTGATTATGATATTTTTTGTGATAGGAAATGGTTGACTTTCTTGTTGAGGTTTGGGAACAAGAGGGTCTATTTGACTATCAAACAAAATAGTCTATTTTATTTTCTAAGGATTTTAGAGGAGAGTTGAGGTGGAATTTGTTCACTGTCATATTGCATAGCTGTGAATGGTCTAATTATTACAGTTTACAATTTTTCTCTTTCTGTGCCTTCATTTGTTATTATGAATCCATTAGATCAGTTTAATTGTATAATTGTGAATCCATTAAACCAGTTTTTCTGCTGCAAAGGGATAATTTCAAGCTTCAGCTACTGCAAGCTTCTAGCCTAAATGCTGGCTAATATTTGAGAATTGAGAGGTCACGTTTCTTGTTGTCACTACTCACTAGTGAGTGAGTAGAAAAGAGAAAGTGATAAATATGATGAGAAATGAAGAGAGATATAAAGAATGGTGTAAAGTGAGTATACAAAATGGGGTGGCTTGTGTGTGTACATTTATAACCTCCTTAATTACGATATGATCCAAACATTGCTGCAATAAGACCACACTCAAATTGTTGTCATTGCTGAGTGAGGAAAATTTCATAAAAATCGTTCAGTTTCCAACATGAACCATGGCATCAATCTCTTTAGCGGAATTGCCCAGTTCTGAGAATCTTTTTAACTTTTGGGGAGGTATACCGTTAACTCTCTTAAGTGATTAGTGTACAAACAGAAGTTGTAAAGAAAAGGGGTAAACTTTTCATTTCAAAAATGGTTTCCTTAATACTTTATTTCTTATTTATTTACCTAAAGAGAGATTTTTTTCTAATTATCTGTTTACGTAGAAATTTAAGACGATATTAATTGATATTTTTCGACTAATACTTTTTTGTCTATATAGAACTCTAAGTATAATCATGGTTGAGGTTAAGAATACTGAGGTAGTTAAGTTTTAAAGGTTTTCTTAACTTTGTTATTATATAATTGAGTTTAAACATGTAAAATTAGCAAATTTTTATTGAGAAAAAACATATTCACTATATTAAACTAAGAAAGTGTATGAATGTAATTTTTTTATTATTTTTGAATATTTAAACTAGGTCCTAAAGATTGAGGTTAACATTTTTTTAAGTTTAATTGAGAAAAATTACATTTATTAGATCAAAGTTATTAAATTGTGATAAATACTTTTTTTATGAAATTTTAATATTATTAATTATAAAAAAATTATTAAAATATTATAAGAAATGCCTTATAAATTAAAAAAAAAAAAAAAGGACTGGCGAGAGTATATTAGTTAAGTAGGACAGACCAAAAAAAAAACTCAATAATAAACAGTAAATTAGAAAGTTAATCAAATACTCCTCTGTTATTTTCTTAACACTAGCAATTTTTATTTTGTTTATTTTTCATTATCATTCTATAAAATTAATGGAAATTTTAATTTACAATTTTACTATTAATAATTAATATTTGTTTGTTAGAGGATATATAATTAATTAGTATAATAAATGAAGGCTATAACAGGGAGTTAAGTAATATTCTTTTCATAAAGTTTATAACATCAATATTTTTTAAGAACCTCAAATGTCAAACAAAAGAAATTGTAGTATTTGATGTTATTAATACATTAAATGCTATAATTTTTACTAAAAACTTTGTCGAAAATTCATAAATAAAACATCTGACGGTACCTACATTTAAGAATGTAAAATAGAGAGCATAGCGTTAGAATAGTGCACAATATATACATACACAAAAAAAAAAAAAACAAAACAAAAACCATGCACACATGCTCATATTTAAATTAATTTAACATTTCTAAAACTTCAAAATCCAACAAAATAAGAGTTAAGCTCACAATCTTGCTTGCCATAGGAAAGAAAAAATTTCTTGTTCTTCTTTTTTCTCCTTCCAGATTAGCACATGCCCAAAAATAAGTTTGACTGATTAATGAATCAGCTTGAATGATGTGAAGCCTTTTTTTTTTCCCTTCTAAATTAACACAAACTCAAAGACAAGCTAGAACATCAAGGTAAAAAAATAGCCATTATAGAAGCAAGTAAAAGAATGGTATAATATGACAGAGCTTAATATGAAAAATGTTATAAGAATAGAGAGAAAAAAATTCAGTATTGAAAAGAGGAGAGTTTATCTTAATTGATTGTACATGTCATATGAATAAAAAGGAAAAATTCAGCATTGAAAAGATGTGATTTTATCTTAATTGATTGCACAAAGTAAATAACAAGAGACAATATATATAGGTGAAGGCTAAACTCACAAAAAAAAAAAAAAAAAAAACCCAAAACGAAAAACACAAGAAGCTAAAATAAGATTAGCAGAGTTTATTATAAAACTAAAATAGTGGTGAATTGTCGATGTAATATTTTGCATATAATTTGGAGGAAGGGTGTAACAGAGCTCTAACAAATTTAATTAAAAAAGAAAGATAGTAAGATGACAATGAAAGAAAAAAATTGAAAAGGAATGAAGCATTTCAAGTAGAATAACTCTTACAAAAAAGAGAAAATATCTACCAAGTATAAATAAAATATCTCATAAAAGAGAAAAAAATCACAAAAAGAAACAAGGTTAAAAAAAAAATTTTAAAAAAAAGTTCCTACACTGTAATATTGAAGAATGAACTAGAGTTGTTGTTTGTTCCTCTCGTTAATAAAAACTTATTAAGTATAATGATCTTGTATCACCTTAATACTTAGAGTGATAAATTACTTGTACAATAACACTCAAATATAGGTAACACACAACTAAGATTTAGTAACCGTAGAAACCTCACCAAGTTTAAATATTGGACCATAATCAATTTGAAATGGTTGGCTTACTATTGGGCCCTCTCAATTTGATTCAAAACCTTAACAAAAACAAAGTTGATCCAAAACATAAATTTTTATTATGTCATTAGACACATATTTAAAAATTATTTTTAAAAAAATAAAAAAGTTAAGGTCATGCGATGTAGTATTTAAACTTTTGAAAAAGTATGTGTTAATCAGTCCATAACGTTCTCAAATCATACAATTTTGTCCCTTCATTAATGAAAATTAAATGATTTGTGTGTCTCTTACATGACAAGTTCTTTATAACCTTTGATGGGAAAAAGTTAAAATCGAACATGACAAGAATTTTAGAGAATATTTGCATTTTTCCTTAATAACTCTTGTAGAAGAAAAATTCAAGTAATTTTCATTTTCTTTCTACGACCCAATGGTGACCGTGGCAAGATTAGTTACTGAAAAGAACACAGTTGTCAATTTTTTTCTAAACATGATTATGTTTCCTTAGTGATAGAACACGTTAGAAAAATACTTTAAAGTCAGGCAGCATAAATAATTGATTCGCATTTCTTTTAAAACCAAAATGGTTAAAATGCAATCTTTCAGGTTTCTTAACAATTTTCTCAGCAACCAAACATGCAGCTCTTTCATTATTTTCAAGAACCAAACAACTTGAATATTTGCTATCTTTTTGCCACCCCCTCCTTCCTTTTCTTTATTAAAGGAACTATTTTTTAAAAAGTTTTAGCACTATTAATGTGCTTACAGCATTGAATTCTCCTCAACTTGTGTAACTGAATTTCTATAGATACGTTCCACATTGGGTCTTTGGCGGTGCAGGGGGTCAGTTCTTTGCTCTTTTGTTGCTTCTCTTTGTTTGGTAGCTGAGAAAAAAATAAAAATACTAATACTGAATTTTCCATTTGAATTTGACTTTTACTGCTCCACTTGTTACTTAATCTGAAAGGAAATAATCAAATAATTTATATAAACATGTATTATTTATAACTAATTAATATTTTATTAACTTAGCTTCCTGTGCAAGTGAAACATCAGCTAAGTGAGTTTTGAGCATAGAACATGGGAGATCCAAAATCGCTAGTTGATGTTGCTGCTTTTGTGGTTCTGGAATATTAGGATACCAGAAATTTGAAATCTTGATTGTTCTGCATGTCTTAACCTTTCTGGGTATGTTAAGGTCATTCACTGTAGTTTGATATACTTTTTTATTCACGTTTAGGAATCTTTATTTGTACTTGCTTGGTTTTTAAGCAAGCATAAGATATGGTCAATAGGGTAACCTGATGGAGCTTTATTGTTTGTTATTCTTTCATTGGATTCTTTGAAAATTGGCATAAGATACATTCAATTTGCTTCTATTATTGGGTTACATTTAGGAGATATGTATTATAGGTGTTGCTTGTTAGTACAAATGGGTGGATGCTTTGAGATGAAATATTGCTGCTCCTCATGTTTACTGTTTTGTGGTGCCTGGATTCGCATTTGCTTGCTTTCAGCCATGGATAAGTTAAAGCTCAAATGCAAGGAGCTTTTCTGTGTAAGAGAGATTTATTTCATGTTAATTTTTTAGTAGTTTCAGGAATTTTTTTGTTGCATTAGTTGCAGATATTTTTTCCTTTTTAAGCATTCCATGGATAAGAGAAAGGAAGAAAGGGTTTAATTGTGAATGTGATTGCATAATTTTGGGCCCTTAGGGCTGGTCACATCCTACATAGCTTCTATCTTGCTGACAAAGTGCACTTTTTTATTGATTCCAATCCAAACACATCATGCTTAAGCTCATTTTTTTTTCTTATTATTTTACTTTCATATGTAATTTTAGTTAATTCAAATGATAGGAAATAAACAAGACTAGAGTACTGGTTTTAACTTGATGGCTGTATTTAAATTTTGAGATCACCTTTCCAGATTCTTCAATTTTACAAATAAATGTGTATTTGTGTAGCGTAACTTTGTTTGGTAGACATTGACTGTAAACAAAAAAAAATCACAAACCTGTTAATGGAGGAAAGCATAATATTCTATTAATCTGAGAAATCTCCATCACAAGCATTACAAATATATATATATATAAAAGAAAAATTGATAGGTGACCATTCCAGAGAGTAGGCTACTATGTCTCTCTCTGCTGTATTTGCCTTTCAATGTATTGTTTAGGTCCAACAATAATGAGAGGTATTATAAACAGAATGATGCACTGATTCTAGCCTGTGTTATTCAAACTGGTAGAGTGAATATTGATAATAGTTGGAGTTAATCATACTTATGGTTTAACCTGTTTTGTAACAGAACAGAAGTTGTTTTGGCTGCTTCATAAAACCCTTAGGGATTATTTCAGTGGACAAGGCACCTGAAGGACAAAGAACTCAAGATCAAATAGTGGCTAAAGAGGATGGCTCAGAAGATTTCTGGAGCAGCAGCACTTTTGAATTAGATCATAGTGCAGCTCAGTCGCAAAGAAGCGTGTCGTCAACCGCGGTATCAAATAACCCTTCTGATCCTCAAACTAGTGCAGGCGATCAAAGTGGTTCTCCTGAATTTGTTAACAATGGCAAGTTTTATGCATATGTTTATTATTTGTTGGTTCTTTCATCTTTTCTGTGGAAAGTGAAAATAGTCTTTGCTTAATTGTTAATAGAGCTAATTCAGGACTTATATGTGCTTTGCTAAGTGTAATATTTTCATGCAATATGTGAATCAAACTCCTTGAACCTCAAGGAATATGTGTTCGGATTGACATTGAAATGGCTATTGATTCACATTTACTTTAACGCTACTAGTTATAGTTTTGTGTTAAATTCGCGTTTACCACTTTTTCAATGTGTTTCCAAACACACATGCAATTTAACTTCCTAGGAATAACTCGAACGCATATTCACTTTACATTTTTCTTTTTTCCTTTCATGCTCCTCTAATGAAACAAAAAAATTGAAGAAAAAGTGGCTTTCTCCTCAGGTGCAGCATTACTCCATTCGTGGAAATTTAATTGATTACATAGCAACTGAATGTCTTATTATATTACATCTTTCCTTTCTTTTTCAAACTGTAATTTTTGTACACTTGATGTAGTATTGCAGTCAATTTAGGAATGTTTCTGTAACTTGCAATTAAGAACTAGTTTTTGGGATTTTACTTGATCTGTGTGCCTAATTCTTAGTTTTCATTTCGTATGAAATGACAGAAAGTTTTGATTTATGCAGGGCTTCTTCTCTGGAAGCAGTTAAGGCAACAATGGATTGGAACTAAAAGATCTGAGAGGCAGACAGAAATTCGAGAATCAAGAATAAGGTAAATAAAATTACTGTTTTTTTGCATGTGCCCAAGAACACAAAATAAGAAATCGGGTAAATAATAATTTTTTATTAAAAATAGCATTTAATGTTATCAATATATTATATTTTAAGTTTGAGTCCTATTGAATGCAACTATGTTAAATATTTGGAGGGAGTGTTTTGCTATTTCCAGTGGTTCTATCTCGCTGAACAGATTGACTCCACTAGAGAATACATGTGGTTTAGAAAAAAATAAAAATATATTAGATGTTGTGACATGCCAATAATTTCTTGCAAAAGCTTATTATATATATGTTTTATGGTGTGTTTTTCAGCATACATTAGAAAAGGCAATAAATATATGCACTAAGAAGTGAAGTGTTAAGTGTTGAGTTACAATATTAATCTCTTACTTCATAAAGTTAAAAAATATCCTTTTCCTATCAAGCATATTCACAAAGCTTGTGGCTCATTACTTCAATGTATAATCTGTTGCTCTACACCAACTAGCGGTAGACCAATGTTGGGTTTTATGTTAGTTTCATGCGCAAGTTTTCCCTTCCCTGGAAGAAGCACCCATCTATGCTAACAATACTATTGATTATTCTGTGCAATTTTTAGTTGTCTAGCTGCTGCTTTTTTTTCACATTGATCAAGCTTTTTACTCTCCACGTGGCACAAAGTCTTGGCCTGTGTTTGAGAAAATGTTGGAAAACTTATAAACATAAATCCAATGGATCCAAACATGCTATTAATTGAAGAAAAACTCTTCTAATTATTTCTTAATATTTTCAATGTGGATTTTTATTTTTTTATTTTCTTGGGCTAATAATTTTATCATAAAAACTGCACTGTCGAACATGAGCTTGAGCATTCACTTCTAAGTCTTTATTTTTTTGAGGTGTTGGTTAACCTCTAACTCTGAGCTTATGTTTCATAGTTCATTTGCAACCTACGACGATCTACTTGGGAACAACAAGCCCTTTCCCCAACCCATCCCTCTAAGAGTATGATTTTCTAAACTTATTTCTTTATTTTATTGATATTTTGGCAATATATCACTTATTCTAGTAAAAGGGGTGGCTTAGTTCACAATACTCCCACCCTTTTCGTAGCACATTGCTAATTGATTATAATATCTCTTGTGATAGGAAATGGTTGACTTTCTTGTTGATGTTTGGGAACAAGATGGTTTATATGACTGATCAAACTAAGTAGTCTATTTTTTTTCTAAGGATTTTGGAGAGTTGAGGTGGAATTTGTTCATGGTCTTTATTCCCTATCTGTGAATGTTGTAATTATTACAATTCTTCTCTTTCTGTGCCTTCATTTCATAAGAATCGTTTAGTTTCCAACATCGACCATGGCATCAATCTCTTTAGCGGAATTGCCCAGTTTTGAGAATCTTTTTGTCTTTTGGGAAGTTGCCTCTGTTAAGAAAGGTGTCAACTTTTCATTTCAAAAATAGTTTCTTTAATTCTACTTCCTTTCTTATTTATTTATCTAAAGACAGATAAAAAAAATTACAATTATTTGTTTATGAAGAAGTTTAAGACAATATTCACTGATATTTTTTTTAACTAATACCTTTTTGTTTGTATTAGAATTCTAAGTGTAATAAATGAAGTATTGATTCTATCTCATTTTTTTCACAAAGCATGTCGAACTAAATTATTTAGAGTTTTATTATGTTGAGTTTAAGAATACAAAGATAGTAAAGTTTGAAGGTTTTGTTAACTTTAGTTCTTATAATTGAATTTAAAGATATATAAGTAGCAAGATTTTTTTAGTAAAAAACATATTTACTATATTGAAGTTATGAAAGTGTGATGAATACATTTCTTATATATAAAATTTACTGTTTTTGGATATTTAAATTATGTAAGATTAATATTTCTTTTATAGTTTTATTGACAAAGAATCAATTTATTATATTGATAAATACTTTTTAAATAAAATTTTACTATTACTAGTTGCTTAAATTTAACTTTAAAGATAAAATATTTTTAATTATTCAAACTAATAAGACTAGATAAATTTTGTTAATATTTTTAAATTATTATAATAGGATAATTTTACTATCAATTAATATCATTGAACTTAATCTCATCATAAAATTTATCTTTTGTTGGTTTTAATAGGTTTTCACTAACTCTATTAATTAAGGATAAATACAAAAAATAATAAATGTTTTATAAAAACTATAAAGTACCTTATAAGACTTATAGAAAGGGTCTTATAAAATTAAAAAAAACCAAAAAGACTAGAGAGAGTATATTAGTTGAGTAAGTCAGGATTAAAAAAGAGACTCACTAATAAAGAGTAAATTAGCAAGTTGATCAAATACTCGCTCCCTCCATTTTTTTTCTTAAAACTAATTATTTATTTATTTTTCATTATTATTCTATAAAAAAATGAAAAATTTCAGTTTTACAATTTCACTATTAATGATTAATATGTTTTATTAGAGGATCTAAATAATAAAGATATTAATTAATATAGTAAATGAAGGATATAATGGGAAGTTAAGTAATATTCTTTTCCTGAAACTTAGAATATCAATCACTTTCTTAATTCTTGTAAAGAATCTTGAATGTCAGGAAGAAAGTGTTCTAACAAAACAATTTTCTAGTCTTTGTATAATTTATTTTCTTTATGCATGGATTAATAGAAACATAAGTAGCAAGGAGTAGTAATTTTAATTTTTTTATAAAAATGATGGGTTTTTTTTTGTTATTAATATATTGGATATTATATTTTGTAATGAAAACTTTTTTCTTTGTTGAAAGCTCATAGATAAAATGCCTAAAAATACTTATAATCATAATTCTATAAACATTAGAATAGTGCACAGCATATATACACACAAAAATTATGAAAAGGCTTTTTTTTTATTAGCACAAAATCAATGATATGCTAGAATAGAATATATATGAGATGGACTCAAATTGATCTAAAAATAAACAAAGTTGAACCAAAACATATAAATTAATTTTTCTTATGTTATTTAAAATTGTTTTTTTGAAATTAAAGTCATTCAATTCAGTCATGCAATTATATTTTTTAGCAATTTTTTTGAAAAAAAAAAGCGTGTTGATTAGTCCTTAACATTCTTAAAATATACCATTTAGTCTCTTCGCAATTCAAAGTATTTTTAAAGATTGGTCGCTGAAAAGAACACGGTTGTGAAATTTCTTCTGAACTCGAAACTATAATTTCTCCTTAATGATAGAACACGTTAGAAAAGTACTTTAACGTCAGGCAGCATAATTAACTGTGAACCAATAATTAATCACACGTGGCATGCTTCCTCTTCTATCAAAATTTCATTTTAAAATACGTAAATACCATGTTAGGTTAAATTTAGCAGACTTATGAACAGATAACGATATTATAACATTCATTCACAGATAGTGGCACGTTCTTAATTATGTAAAATGATTTTAATACGACATAATGTTTACAACATAAGAAAAATGAGATGATAGAAAAATAATTTAAAGTTTGGCATAAGATCAACGATTGGTTGGGAGGAAGCAAAGAAGAGTCAAAGCGCTGAGAAAAGAGGTGTGAATACGAATACTAAGAAATACACGTTATAGCCTCCAATTTGGACCCCTAATATGAATGTTCATTCCTCACATCATAAAGATAAGCCAATACATTTCGCGATTTCCTTGTGCTTTAGTAATGATACATACATATATATTTGTTATATTTTATACTTTATGTAATAAAAGCTTATTTTTCTGATAAAAGCTATTTACTTTTTGTTATTTAAAATTAATATCAATTATAAAACTAATAGAAATAAATTTTAAATTATATTTTTATTAATACTACACATTCATGATTTTATTGTTTTATTTTTTAAATCATTAAATTACTATATAATTATAACTTATTTTCATGTTTAAACTTATTATTTATTTCTAAGTCTTTATTGCTTACGACCGAGCATAGAAAATTAATTAATAAAAAATGATTTTAATTTAACTTATAATTTTGAGTTTAAATTTAAAAACAGTTGGAGCCTTTGTCATGACGCTTTTAAGGTTTTCAAAAGCAACCTTAAGTTGTAGGACTCCACATAAATTGGTTATTTTGTTATAAAAATGTTAAGGAAACTAAATCTTAGCAAAATCCTATATATGAATCTATGTTAAAAGCTTGTGAGACGAAGAAATTCATGCAACGACTTAATTAAATTTGATACAAACCATTCTTACGGGCTCTGATTTTGGATGATTCTAGTGTAAGCACCCTCTTCTAAAACTGTCTCCCAAGTACTTAATCTTCTTTTAACTGAAAAAACTCAAAATAATTTAAGAAAGAATTGCATCATATGTAATTAATTCAAGATGCTATGCATATATATTGACTGAGAAAATAAACAACTTATGCTCTCATATGCTTTAAGTTGGTAAGAAGTTTGAAAAAGTTTTTCATAATAAATGAACATACACGAAGCTTTGCTGTCTTTCTCTTCATATAGACACAGTTTTTCTGTATTTTCAATTTGAGTCATGACGCGAACTAGCTGATGTCATGTAAAATGAGTTATTTGATGAAACCAAAAGTTCCTTGTTAACAAAGAAAGATAGGTGTGTCATTCACAGATACAAATGGGATAAAATCTCAGCAAACTCATGTGGAGTCTGATATGTCTCAACAGTTTTAGATTTAGATGGTCCCATATATGCTTCGTAGATAACAAGGGTAGATTTGAGACCAGACATTCTCAATCGCGGTTAAGTCTCTAAGTTTGATTTCAAATTCGATACGATCACAATTCTAGTATTTAACCGCGATCAATTATATATATAACCTAATAATGCCATATCCAACGTTGAAAACCAATATTTTATACCTAATTTATCTGAAAGCTCATCTATATTTGATATGACAAAACAATATTTTCTAATTCCCATTGCATTTAATGCACGATATTTAATGCAAAACCGTAATGTATCAGCTTTCTTCTATACCAGTGTGACAGATGAAAAGAATAGGCTTCTTCTTAGTTGAATCATCGTCTATAGCAATACATCATCGTTCTTCTTTGCAAATGAACTTTATACGCCGCCATAGTACTCCTGATCTATCTTTCTATATCGTTCCAATCTCCTTACTCATGATCATATCTATGTGAGGCGCATTATTAAACTATAACCCTTTGACTTTCAATTGCTCTACGATCATGTTCCTTATTTTTTGGGTCAACTATGTGTTGGCTATCAAATAAGAAACTTCAAATTAGTAAATTAACTTTCAATTTTGATCGAAAAAATAATTGTAAAAATTTACAAATTAAAATAAAACTTTCCTTTATAATATATTTAAATATAGATTTAAACATAAATAATGACAGGGAGAATATAGATACAGTAAAATGTAAAAATTTTATCATATATACACATGAGTTAGAATTTATTGACATGTGTTAAGTTTAAATAATTATGTGCTTAAACTTTTTATAAAATATAAAAATGATAAATTTAATCATTGAATATTTTATATTATTTTTAATTATATATGTTCAATTTTATATAACTTAAATATTTATAAATATATTATTTAAATTTTTATATTTATTATTTATTAAAATTTAAGTAACGTGATAAATTAATTATTTATTTATTATATTTATAAAATTAATTTATTTAATAAAAATTATTAATAATATAAATGTGTGAAACTTGTGTGCGTGTGTGTATATATATATATATATATATATTCTCATTTATGATGGGTGAACTCAGTATATCTAGTCTCGACATCTCTCAACCTAAAAAGCAGTGAAAGATGAATAAAATTTTGATTCGAATGTATTAACAGTGGCATATGGAGAATTAAATATGCAGAGAAGCATGATGATGATACGTCAGAAATATTCAACATAGTCAAATGGAACAATCGACACAGACTTCCAAAAATTGGTTGAGTTGGCAGCATCACAAAAAGAAATTGAATAATTGTTCCTAGTTCTAAGGGTTGCAACGATTTCAAAGATAAGAGATGAGCTATGAATTATCATTGTATATTATAAGCTAAACCAAGTGGATGACATGCTGCAAGTTAAAGGGAATCCCTTTTTCCCTATTTGTTATATATCATCAATCCAAATACAATGCATGTTTTAGGGGTAAGAGAGAGCATGATTGATACTTAAAGAAAAGAAAAGAAAAGAAAACTTGATCAGGGTCAAAAGTACTTGAATGGGAAAGAATTTCTATTAAAACAAAAGGTGGTGGAGATCTTTAGCTTTATCATTATTTAACAATGAACATGGAAATGCAAAAACAATTAACACATGCATTACATCCCCTCTTTACAAAGAAAGCACAATCCCACGTTCCTCATACACCACTACACTTAATTAATATACAATGAAAATTTTGTCCGGATCTATAGTCTATGACGCTTGTATATTTTATCAATCAAATTTGAAACAATTAACAAAGGTAATCATTAATTTGGCATTTTTATTTTTTCAAAGTAATACACACACGTTTAAATTTATCAGCATTATTATTCGTATTATTTTATCATCAAAACTTGAGATAAATATCAATACTCTTTTAGATAAATACACATTTAATTTCTTAATTCATTTTATGCATTATTTTTTTCAAAATCTTTAGCAGATAGTTTCTTTTAATGCATGCATGTACCAGTCATATAGAAAGCTGAACCATATAGAAACCAGCAAGTGGATACATATTGGCACTCCAGCTAAATCGCTCTGGCTTTAGCTTTGTGCCACCTCACACACCCCCTCTGCTGTCATACGTACACGTCATAATTTTTAGTTTTTTTTTTAAAGTAACATTTTTTTAGTTTAAAAGGGCATGTACATCATTTATATACAACTACAAGATTATGCATGCACCCGACTCAGAATTCTGAAATATAAAACAAATTTTATGTTATAATTTGCAGAATAAGGGAATATTTTGGTAAAATTAGATAGATTTTAAAAAGGATAAAACTTGACACATAGCTATAATATAACACACAAATTAGAATTAATTAAGGTCGACTATCAATATGCTTAGGACCACTTTTACGAGGATCGAAAAAATTTAATTTTTAAAATTTATTTTAGAAATAAAAATTATAAAAGTTATCATCATAAACTTTGAAATTTTAAAATCACTTGAAAATTTAAATTTTTCTAAAAATATATTTTTTCTGAATGAATGGATAGTTCGTAAAATATTAATTATTCTTTTTCTATAACTTTAATGAAATGAAATTTTTCAAATTTAAATTAATAAAACCTTGTTTGTGTTCAAATATATCAATTAAAAAATTAATTTCTAAAATTAATCATATAAATCTAATAATTCATTTTGTATTAAAAATATATTATACATTACTAAAACGTCCTAATAATCTAATTGTTTCATAAGACCTCAAATATTCTTAGCCCCTTAAAGTAATTATAAACACAATAAAAACAATAATTTATTTAATTATCCCAAGATTTCAACATACTTTGGTATAAAAAAATTAAAAATATAAAATATAGTTAAAAGTATTTAAAGTTAATTTAATATGTGACACAAATACATATCCAACACAAATACATATAAAATGGTTACTATCACATACTTAAGGTTATCAGTGTTGAAATGCATCAGAATGGATTATGTTTGTTACTCACTTTGATGAGTTTATCTAAATTTTTAGTCAGGTGGCCAAATTTTTTAATATAACTCTGGTTTCAGATCCAATGACATATAAATAAATTTGGTGGAAACTGAATCATGTAAGGCAGGATTTGAATGACTAGAAAAATAAGTTAAAAAGTCATAAAGTGATATAAATATTTAATTTATACAACTAGTCAATTATATTATACTTAATACAAATTAATTTGCATTGTTCATACATTTCTAATTATCTGTCAGTACTCTAATTTTAAGTTAAAATAGTTAAAAGTATGTTAAAAATTTTATATATATTCATAAGAATCTGATTCCTTTAAAATTGAACTTTTGATAAATGCATTTACAAGCATACAAAAGCACCAACAATTAAGTAGAACTTAGAAAACACAGTTTTAAGTATTTTTTGCTCTTCTCAAAAGTAACAACATGATACGATCCCGTAAGATGACTTAAAGTTTTGTTATTATTGTTATAAAAAGTGTGAAATGTTAGACATATAAATGCAATTATACATGTGTTTTGAAGAAAGAAGTAGACATAAAAAATAACAGATAAATGAAAAGAAATAAAAATAGGTAAAATTAAGAGAGTAAAATGAAGAGATTTGTGGGATTATGATGGGAGTGAATGAGTGGTGTTTTGAAGAAAAGATTTGAAAAATGAAGGAACAGTGAGTGGGTGGTGGGTTGGGTTTGTCGCTTTGTCTCGTGGTAACGCATAAAAGGAGTTGGCTGCGTCCCAAGTTGGGTATCAAAGATTGTGGTTCTCATTCACATCATTGCAGGTTCATGAACTTCTTTTTCTCTCTCACTTTCATCAAATCTCCTCACAAATATCAACCCCCATTTCCATCCCTGCTTACGTCTTTTCACTCTTTCTAAATTAATAAACAACATTTTAAAAGCTCAATATGTTAATTTTTTTAATTATAATACTAAAATTCTCTTGTGGTTTTTTTATAACTTTTTTTATTTTTCATTGAATATTTCCCTTAACTTTATATTCATTTCATTTTCTTGACTTTTCGTATTGTTCACCTTTCAATTTCTTAGTGTAAAATTTGTAGTTTTTTTCTTCAACACTAAGATTCATTGTCTCATTGCGAGTCGAGTACAATGTAATTTAATTTGTAAAAATTAACCATAGTCCGAGTTGATAATTTGTTGTTCTTATGATCACTTATTATAATTCTGTAGTTCATATTTGCTTTGCTTATTCAAATAGTTCATTTCTTACATATTTTATCTGCTTGTTTAGATTGATTTTTCGAGAGTAATAATAATAATAATATAAGTATTATGATTAATATAATAATATCTCTTATCATTATCATTAATAAACTAACACATTAAACACTAAATTAATATTAATTCTAATATGTCTAATCTTATTATTAATTTTTAGAGTAATAATCACTTTTGTTTTATTCTGATTAGGAAGATCAAAAAGTTGTTATCTAATATTGAATTCATTCGATTTAACTATATTATTATAGAGACTAATATGTGTATACTGACTGACTTGCCAATGTGATTAAGAAGCTTGTACGTCTTTTTCTTGTTTTGATATTATTCTTCTTTTCTTAATTCCTTCCTTAAGGATGAGTGTTATTAGAATCCCTTCCTCTAAATTATTGTATTAGTTTGTTTATGTTTGAGCCTGTATGTTCTATTTATAATAAAAATAAAATAAAATATTTTGAAGTTCTTAATATTTAATATTGAATAAACTCATAAAATGCATGTTCTTTTTTTATATCTCTAAAATAAATTTAAAAAATTATATCACTTTAAGATGTTCATAATTTTTGAAAAATTTCACCATTAATTAAAAAAAATTATTATTGTCTAAAGACAGCATTTTTTTTCTCTTTACAATTTATTCAATCCCTCTAATCAGTTTAAATCAATTTTTTTCTATTTTTATTAATAATTATAAGATAAACATTACATGATTTTTAAGCTTAATTAAATTCCTATAAAATTAAAAAATTTAACTTTATATATATTATTAAATAATCTTCTTGTGATGATTTTATATATGATTGTTTTAAATATCATAATTTTTATTTGATTATTCTAAGAAGATAAATAAATAAAATAAATTTTTGGTATTTAAAATAAAAATTTTGAAAGAAAAAAAATTTATTAATATTTTTATATTTTTTGTAAGAATTTTCATACAAAAGAAATAAATACGAAAACAAAGTAATATTCTTTTATAACTATCATTTATAAAAATTATTTTAACACCGAACAAGCCTTCAAGTATAAATTTTTTTAATTTCACAAATTGTTATAAAAGTACCACATTATTCAACTTTTAATACTTCCATACAAACACAAGTTCTCAAAAAAAAAAAAAAAAAAGCCAAATGTTTTATAACGATTCAAATATTAAAGTATACTAAAATTATTAATATGAAGTAGCAGAAAACAGGGAGAAAAAAAAGAAAAAGGAAATGAAAAACCACGACTTGGTTTCTGGTTTCTGGTATTGAGTGGTGGGGAAAAGAATATTACAAAAAAACCCCACTATGCGCAGATACATTGCATGTTGCAAACCATTCAGTGTACGCGAATCTCTTTCATTATTCAATAAAAGCCTCTCTTTTCTCAAACATTAACTTCATTTTTCTCCTTCTTCTGCTTCTCTTCATTTTCTCTCTCTCCCTCTCTCTTTTTGCCCTATCTCTTAGGGTTTCAGCTTCCATTGCTCTCTCTCATGCGTTCTTGCTCCCAACAATCACACATCGCCATTGCTGTCATCCTCGTTTTCTTCTTCGCGCTCTTTTTTGCTCTCTTTCGAGGGTTCTTTCATAGAGAACAGTGTAGATTTGACCTCCCGGGGCTTCTTCAGTTGTGCCCATGTCCAAAGTTCTTGGCTTTTCCGGTATTTTTATTGATTTATCTTGTTTTTAATTCGATTCGTGCCTTTGGGTGTTGTGTTTTTGGGGCGGGGGGTTTGCCAAAAATTTTGTAGCTTTTAGGTATGTAGAAGATGCATAGGAGCTTATGTTTGATGATGATTTCGACTTTTTATTTATCTTTTGGGAAAAATGGCTCCTGGGTTGTCTTTGATCTCTTAATTTCTTTTGTGTCGTGTTATAATCGTATAGTTATGGAAAGATGTGAAAATTCTAGTGGGGGATGGAAGTTTTGTCAAGCATGCGCTGGTGATTTGGTTATATGTATGCTTTATTTTCTGTTTGGGTTTGATAAAATTGGTATTTGGCTATTTGGGTTTTGCATGAGAAATCCTTGTGATTGATTAGAGATGTAAACAATTTGTTGATGAGATAGTGATGAGGATTTTAAGAATTTTTTTCGTAGTTCTTGGTTTCTGGTGGAATTCTGGATCTTGTTTTGTGATCCTTACAGCAGATGGTTATAGTTTGATCACTTTCTTTTGTATGTTGAAAGTTGATCTCTCCCTAGTGTTGGTTTCCGAGGATGCAACCGTGTTCTTAGACATATGTGGATTTCTGTTTTTTTACGCAATCTCAGAATTTAGTGCATCGATAGATACTTGCTGTTGTTCCATTTTCTGGTTAAATCTACATGTTTTATGATGTTTATATGCTCAATTTGAGCTTTCCTGACTTTATACATATGTTCGGGTTCTCAGGAGGTGATGACTTTTGCCCTGGGGGGTCAATATATGCCAACCCCAAGGAAGCAAGCTTCTTCCTGCCTCTTGGCCATCAAGTTGATGTATACTTTCCTCCTCGGAAGAGATCACGTGTCAGTGCTCCATATGTTTTCAGTGGCGAATGGTTTGAGCAAAAGCAGAAAACCTCTATTGAAGCCTTGCCTGATGAATGTATTTTTGAGATCTTTAGAAGGTTGCCTGCAGGCGAAGAAAGGAGTGCATGTGCTTGTGTTTCCAAGCGCTGGCTTATGCTTCTGAGCAGTATTTCTAAGAATGAAATTTGCAGCAACAAAAGTACTGGCCTACAGACCAAGAGTAAAGAGGAGGAGGATGATGTAGAATTTGGGGGTGAGGGATACCTCTCTCGAAGCTTGGAAGGAAAGAAGGCAACAGATGTTAGACTTGCTGCCATTGCTGTTGGGACTGCATCCCGAGGAGGATTGGGGAAGCTCTCTATCCGTGGAAGCAACACTGTTCGTGGGGTGACTACTCTAGGTCTTAAAGCAGTTGCTCATGGATGTCCTTCTTTGAAGGCTCTTTCTCTATGGAATGTTGCTACCGTTGGTGATGAAGGCCTGATTGAGATTGCTAATGGATGTCAACAGCTAGAGAAGCTTGACCTTTGCAAGTGCCCTGCAATTTCTGACAAGGGTTTAATTGCAGTTGCAAAGAACTGCCGGAATCTGACCGAGTTATCATTAGAATCTTGTCCAAACATTGGTAATGAAGGTTTACAAGCCATTGGGAAGTACTGCTCCAATCTTAGGTCCATATCTATCAAGGACTGCGCTGGCATCAGAGATCAAGGAATTGCTGGCCTGTTTTCTTCAACTTCTTTGGTTCTGACAAAGGTGAAGCTCCAGGCACTGACTGTTTCTGATCTCTCTCTAGCTGTTATTGGACATTATGGAAAATCAGTTACAGATCTTGTTCTAAATTGCCTCCCAAATGTCAGTGAGAGGGGGTTTTGGGTTATGGGTAATGGTAATGGATTGCAGAAGCTAAAATCACTTACAGTGGCATCTTGCAGAGGAGTGACAGATATTGGGCTTGAAGCTGTAGGTAAGGGTTGTCCAAATCTGAAAAGTGCACACCTTCACAAGTGTGCATTTCTGTCAGACAACGGTTTGATATCATTCGCCAAGGGAGCTTCATCACTTGAGAGCCTCCGATTGGAAGAGTGCCACAGAATTACCCAACTTGGGTTTTTTGGTGTCCTTTTTAACTGTGGTGCAAAATTGAAGGCTATTTCTCTGGTGAGCTGCTATGGAATCAAAGATCTAAATTTGATGTTGTCAACTGTATCTCCTTGTGAGTCACTTAGGTCATTATCTATCTCCAACTGCCCTGGATTTGGCAACGCTAGCCTGTCTGTATTGGGAAAGCTGTGCCCTCAGCTTCAGCATATTGAATTAAGTGGACTAGAGGGAGTGACAGATGCAGGGCTTCTTCCACTGCTTGAGAGCTCTGAGGCTGGTTTGGTTAAAGTGAATCTTAGTGGTTGCATAAATCTTTCCGACAAAGTTGTTTCATCCCTGGCCAATCTGCATGGTTGGACTCTTGAGACTCTGAACCTTGATGGCTGTAAAAATATCAGTGATGCTAGCTTGATGGCAATTGCTGAAAATTGCCCATTGCTAAGTGATCTTGATGTTTCCAAGTGTGCAATCACAGATGCTGGGATAGCAGCCGTGGCACATGCCAAACAATTTAATCCGCAGGTTCTTTCTTTGTCAGGTTGCACTTTGGTCTCAGACAGGAGCTTGCCTGCTTTGCGAAAACTGGGCCAAACCCTTTTGGGACTAAACATCCAGCATTGCAATGCCATCAGCAGCAGCATCGTTGACATGCTTGTGGAACTTCTATGGAGGTGTGACATCCTCTCTTGAGCTGAAAGAACTAATTTCACAATGCAATTTTAGGCCACAGGATCACAACATGCAGGAGGCTTGTTAGAAAGTTATGATAGTGTTGCACAGTAGTTTTTGGGTCCATTAACTGTGGGTCTTGATCATCCAGTAACTCGGTTCCCTTTTTCAAGAGAGTATGCAGCCATTTATCCTTCATTTTTGCAGATTCCTTTTATGGGAAATCTGTTTTAAGTTTTTGGCATCCATTTATGGGTAGCCACCTTTTAGATGGCTGCATATCTCTGAGAACATAGCTACCGGGTTCTGGAGATAGAAATCTCTCTCTTACTGGTGTAGGCACCTAATGTTTTTAGCTCAGCTTTGCATTGGTTTTGCCACCATGTGTGTCTTAGTTCCCTGTTTTTAAGTTTTTACAGCTACATGTACCACAGTACCATTAGTCTGTCTCTAGTTTTACCAAAGTCCTTGAAGCCTGTTCTTCACGTGATGTTTGGGTCTTCAAGTTTTACTCAAAGGGCAGTTTGGAAGTTCCAGTGTAATGTGCTGTTAATAGGTGGCTTGCAGTGGCCAGTTCGGTGCTATGATGCCTTGTCTTCAGGGGCTTTGGCCATGGCAGCAAGTTGTACAGGTCTGCCATGACACAATCTTCTCCCTTGGGTGGGGGTTGTTTTTTTTATGCCAAGCCCTTGTGTTTTTTAAGGCTTCATTTTTTATGAGCTTGCCACTGCAGCTTCTATATTGTGTAACGATGTTCATATCTGCCCTTTGTGCTGTATGTTATATTATGAAAACTAATGAAATAAAATTTGCAGTCATTCCAAAAGTGGATGTGTGTGTTGATAGTCTCTCTACTTCGATTATATATACCCTTTTAAAGTTTTACCAGCTATCTCATTCTCATTATCCTATGATGCAAGCCTAATACATCTAGTTTATGGTTAAAATGATAATTGATTATGGGGAACCTAGAGGGACTCTAGTGTGATCGATCTCAAGAGAGTAAAATGTACGTAATCTTACATCCATAAGCAAGGGAGGCTATGTTATTTTTAGGATTTGAATCCGTGCTTGACTTTCATGTTGTAAGAGCAATTTATCTGTTCATTGCGCCAAGCTTGTCCTCTTCTTTTCATAATAGAATTTTTGTGGAAGTTGAGTAAAACACTGCCATCCGACTAATTTTACAACAAATAAGAGAGAAATGGAAAGACAAAAAAAGTTGAGATAAGATTGATGATATATATGATTGATATAAGAAAAGAAAAACGACCTGTAGAATGTGTCGAAAGAATTTGCTTTAAGGAATGAACATTTCTCTAAAATTTATTAAATTGAGCGTGTTAACAATTCATAGGAGCTTGGATGTGTATATGGAAAACTTTGCTTGCTGTTGAAGAATTTGAGTTGGAGCGGACAGAATATTGATTTCTGCACCTGTACTTAACTCACGTGGTATAAATTGTGTTTGGGAAAGAGGATGTATAGATATTTAATTATTAAATATTTTTAATTTAATTAAAAAACTATCAACTTTTTAATTTTAATTAATTTTTCAACATTTGTCTAGATTTCTACTTAATTTTATAAAAACACCCGTAATTTGTGAATCCTGGAAATTGCGTTTGCACAAACTTGGGACATTATGAAGCTTTTGGAATTTCAGTCTATAGTTTGGTCTTAGACCACTATTGGTTCACTCTTAATATTCGTTGAATTTGAAAAACGAAAATTTCAAGAAAAATGGTTATATATATATATATATATATATATATATATATATATATTTAATTCCTTAATCAAATATATATTTTATGCTATTAAAAAATACTAATATATTATTTTCATAACTTATAGTATATTTTAACGAGTATTTTAAAAATAAAAACTAGTATAATTTATTGATGAATGAAAAGAAGTGCATGTACATTAGCACGATGGATGAATCAAGGTAGAGGTAGATGATCCTATGGCTAATATTGTGATAGACAGGAAAATGGCACATGAACCTTCACATGCATTGCTGTATAAAGCAATGATTGATGCAGCACAGCGAAAGTGTCCACATGACCCAAAATACGAAGCTTCACCTTGCGCTTGAAGCACAGCTATAAGACAGGAACAGGAAAACAAGCCCCACTTGGGTCCACTTGTTAATTTGAAAGGATGTGAATGGTTTTGGTTATGGATTCTCTTGAGCATAAAATCTATTTATCTAATCACCAAGATTATTGCTATGTCAAATCTCATTTGTTATGTGATTGAGGTTCATCACACACAAAAATATCACTCCCTGTTTGATTAGAGAAGAATTTGTGGTTTTATTCAACAACTCCATCGATGAGCTTTAGCGGCAAATCCGTAGTGGTTAAGGGTATCCAATGAAATGAACCATTCTTATATAATATCTTCAAATCTTTCTACTCTGTACATTAATATCGTCTCTATTATTATTATTATGGTTAAGACTTTTGACCCACTAACACCAAAAATCTTATGATTTTTATTTTTCTGTTCACAAAAGAATATAGACCGAATTTCTCCTCTCTGGATTACAATCCTTATGTCAGAGGATGCTTCCTCGGTGATTCTCTTTGCTCAAAATTAAAATATTTGTATGTTTTGGAGGCACTTCAAAACATTGGTTGAATAATCAATCAAAATAATTTTTTTTTTTTTTTTTGCATAAATTGATTATTTTTCTTCAATTTAATGCTACAAAATTGCTTTCAAATTAAAAATTTCTGGATGTGATAAAAAAAGTAAAATATGAGATATAAAAATTTTATAAAAAATGAACAGTAAGTTAGATATAAAACAAAAGCCACCGGCAGCTTGTGTGGAGCATGAACAGAAAGTTAGATAAATGCATTGCATTTCTGACAATGAATGTGTTGTTTTTCAAAGCTCATATGTTGGCTGCTTATCCAACAAAGACAGTCACTGAAAACGACCTCATAGAGCCTACTGCACAAGTCAATCAAAATTGGTGTCTTTGGTACATGCATGTACCGGTAAATCTTTTTCTTTTTCTTTTTTCTTTTTGGGTATACACGGTAAAGATTAAAATATAAATTTGTGATATTTTCAAATAATAAATAAAGTATTTTCATGTTTTTGTATTTTTTTTTAATTAAAAAACTTCATATTTATAGACACACCCATGAATGGTGTAATGCTTCTATTAATATATTATTTTATGTTATAGCTTCTATTACTGTTATTGGACTGAGAATATTTGAGCATAAAACATGATCAATTGAAAAAAATTGAAGACTCTAATTTTGAAAATGAAGTAAAATAATTTAGTTATTTTTGTTAATTTAACTTTAAAATTATGTAACTAACAATAGTTTATATATAATTTTTTTATAAACTTGAAAAGTGATATCATATGAGTCTTGTGAGGATAGGACTTGTAACTTAATAAAGTAACTACTAGAAAATTAGGCCTAACTTCTTAAAGCTAGTTCAAAGGAGGAAATTATCCAAGCCTTGCTGTAATTTTACACAATATTTGAAATTTTTAATTATTATTTTCTCTTTAGATTGTCAAAAAGTGTAAATTAAATTTTAGTTAATATAAATGAGCATGGGAATTTGAATACTATTAGGTACAAGGACAAGTACGAATAAATTTTTAATTCACTTTAAGTGATTAGTATTTAAATTGAATATATTCGAATATTACATTAAAAAAATAAGATTTAACTCACTTTAAAAAGTTTGTTCATAAAATAAAATGACCAAATTCTTATATCCAATGTAAAATATCTCAACACCATAAGTAGTCTAGCATCTAAATTGAATAAATTCCCACCCTACTAAAAAATTACACTGAACTCACTGTCAAAAATTAATTCATAAAATAAAATATCTAATTATCACAATTTTAACCATATTCTTTTAGTGTAAGATATTTTAACATAAAATGTAGACAATTAATTCTTCAACCTAAGTTTTTTTAATCAAGTTCCTTCTCAACCACCAATTCTTCAAAAATTTTTGAAGTGCAGGACATGAAAAATATTGATTAGAAATTTGTATGTAAGTATTGTGCTTCCCATGCAACACCTCTTATCCATGCAGTGTACTACAATTGACTCAGTCACAGTCAAAGTATACCTTAAACATGCCTCTCTGTCTCTAGCTCCATAAATCGGAGTATGCTTGATATATAATAAAAATAAATTAAATTAAACTTTTTTTATATGTTACAGACACCAATTACTAAAAAAAATATCTAACTTCCCCCCAAAAATAATGTGTATAAATAAATTTTAATTTATAAAAAAAAGTCTAATTCATTTTATTTCTTTATTTTCTTTCCTATAATCCTTGTTAAAAAAATACTGAAACTGGGCTATATCTAGTGTGGTCGTAGTTAGACCTTACACTTTCAATTAAACTTTTTGTACATATTTCAACCTTTTTATACATTCTTCACTGTACATAGGAGAAAAGCTTATGGTAAGACCCACACCAATTACACTGTTCATTTTCTCTCACTTTTCTTTTCTAATTTCTTCCTTCTTCTTTTCTCTTTCATTCCAAATAAATGATAAATAAGTTGGTCTCCATTGCTAGAAAGTAAAAAACGGAGCTAAATATTCTGATATTAATTACTTGGAATTTTTTTTATTAGATAATATGTTTAACTAATTATTAGGTTCTGTCTTTAAGAGGGAGAGAATAATAGTAAGATAATTACGTTATATAAAAGTTTATTTTATTTTAAAAATTTGATAATTGCATTGTTGAAAAATTTTACTTTGCTTCAGTGATATTTGCTCAATAAATATACTCTGTGACAGAGATAATGCAGGTGAGATCCTCTACAAGGCACCTCCCATATTTCTCTCTAATTAGAACTCGAAGATTGCTATTTACTTGAAACATGTTCTTCATCACGTAACCCATTATCTAATACGTTAAAATGTTGTTAATTATCAGATAGGATTAAAAAAATATAAGAGAGAAATATTAAATTAAGGGCGAGAAAAAATAAAATTTATATAATTTTTAATAAATTTTAACAAAGTATATTTAAAATAGCGTGTTATTAACGTTACTATATATATATAAAAAGTTTGCCACTGTCGCACTATCAGTTATAAAGATCCAAGTTCCAATTCATGACCATATATAACATTCTGGTTAATTGTCGTATTTTATAATAAAAAGAACAAAATTTTAATGAAAATTAATAAACAAGATGAATTTTGATATTTACTGATTCAAAATTAATTTATCTCTCTAAACAAATTTTTTTCATACACATAACTATATGAATCAAACTTGTATCAACGTATTTAAGGAACATGACTATTTACCAACTATGCCAAACTTTATTAATTATAATATATTCTTTTAAATATACTTCTACAAAAAATTACATTGGTCTATATTTTAAAATATAAAAATATTTTTTAAAAAAATCATTAATTTACAAAGCAAATACTTTGTTAACAGTTCTTTCTTTCAAAGCTTCCAAACTCAAGGATTAAAGTGTTACTCACTGATAAATAACTTACACAAACGAATCTTATTCAATATTTAGATAAACATGTTTTTCATCTACCGGGGAAAAAATGACATGTTAGACGAATGTTCCTTTTAGATTATTGAATTTAATCTATATGCACGTTAAATAGAAGACTACCAAACAACGCATTCTTTAACAATATTTCATGAGTAATACTATTTAAACTCTCAGTTTGAGTGTGTTTAATATTGACACAGAAACCGAATGTTAAAATAGCATTCCTAGTATTTTATATATGTTAAGTGAAATTTTATGAGCTGTGCAAACAAGTCTCAACCCATTATATATTAGACAAATTTCAACATGGATCTTAGGCCCAATACATGTGCCATGGTCCATGCACAATGGAGTTTCCAAGTGAAAGAAGTAAGAGACTGAAAAAGTATGTTGGGCAAGTAAAAATTATACTAATCGGCCTAATTGCATGATGCATGTCCATGTGCTATAATGGTTAATAGTCAAAGTGTACACAGACAGAGAATTTAATCAACAACAAAGTGGACTAACCAATGGTGTATGACAAACAGCAGAATTTGATCCATATGATATCAGCTATAAGGGTGTTCACAACACAAACAGCGTGTACATGGGATGATGTCAAATTGTTCAACAAACCAAGGCTTGAACAAAAAGCCCTTGAACCATCATTAGATGGCAAACTTTCTAAAAATTTTGCTCCAAAAATATCCACTAAACTGACAAGTGCAGCATATACCAAAATAACATCAACAGTAACCTGGCAAATAGTTACATACATTGCTGTGAGCACTAAAGAGAATGATCAGAACCGAACCAGCAAGCTTGGGAATCGGTAAGCACATGAAGAAACAATGCTGCTTGGACATGATGACAACACAAATCATAATGCAAATTTGCAAGTCTTAATTGTCGAATAATCTGAGTCCATATGCTTCTATAATATTTACTGGATGAATCAAATTCTCCAAAGTGTCACCACCATACTTAGCTGATGCAAGGGAATTGCACACCTCATCAACCTAAATGTGGGACAAGTCTCATTTATATGCTGGTCATTTTCTCCATTATTATTCAATTTATGACCTCTTTACACTTGATTTATACTTGACTATCAACACACGTGAGATCCTTTTGTTTCACTTGACTTATCTGAAGGGACAACATTTAGAAACATATCATCACTTGTCTCGTTGGACAAGGTACTTTTCTTTTTGAGCAATGATCTTTAAAATTAAGAAAAAAAAAGATAAAATAAATATTTTTTTATAAGATAAAATTAACTATACATCTCATGTTTTAGATAAATAAAAAAAGAATATAAATTAATTTTAACTTATAAGAATTATTTTTATTCTATAAGTACTTTTACATGAGCTCACTTAAACTAGTCCAAGTTGCTTTATGCAGTTAATCCTGTTTTAGTGTTTCAATTTACAGGGACTTTAATTTTATAATTAGTAAGGATATAATAAAAAAATGTATTCAAAATTATTCTACCACATTTAAATGTTTTTGGATGCATATGGATTTTGGAAATTTTTAAATTGCAGGGTTACTTGAAAACTCAGTTAAACTATTAAAGTGTGTTTGGATGAAATATTTTAAATGGGTGATTTATTTTTTAGAAAAAAATTAAAATTTTATGGGTTAAATTTTTTAATTTAGATATTGAATTTTAAATGATTTAGAAATTTTACTGAAAAATTTAATAGACTAAAATAAAAAAATTAAATTCCACATAATTAGTGAGAATTTAAAATTATGGTTTAGGGTGCTAAATTTAATTCGTTGCTACTCTATCTTTTTCGTTAGTGCTTATTCTCTGACTCTCTTGTTGGTGGATCGAAATTCTCTTTCGTTTTAGCATGAACTGGACAATGTAGTCAAGTAAAATTTTGCATTTTCACTTAAGCAAAATTTTTTTGACTTAAGCGAAAATACAAAATCAACCTGACAGGACGTCCAATTACGGGAGAGAATCTGATGCGTTGTTGGCCCTTATTAGCTCTCAAGTTTAGGTTTCTCTCTCTCTCTTCCTTTTTCTCTCTGTCTCCCTGGTTTGTTCCCCACTCGGTTCTCTCTCTCAATCTGCTCTTGATTACATCAATGTTTCTCTTTTGATTTTCTGTCATTTCCCTGTTAGATCTAAGCATATCAGAAGTATCAAATTTAGCAGAAACCATTAACTAGGAAAAATGTGATTGGTTGCTTTTGTTTTTGTAAACTTGGTTACAGAATCTATTAAGTTAAGCAAACTTGAGTGGTTATATGAAACAATGTCAACGTTATAGACCTGCAAAGTAATTTAACCTTATCAAAACAAGATCAAGTAAAGGATCAATAGTCTAGACAATAGAAAAGGAAATTTCAAAAAAAAAAAAAAAGATTAAAACTATTATCGTTCACAATGAAATGCATCACAACTGTTATTACAATGAGAGACAAAATATTTAAGAAGAGTTTATTTAGAAATGAAGTTGCTACCAATTTTATTAAAACCATCAAAATTTAAAAAACCGTTTTATTTAAAATGAAGTGGTTTGCCAAAAGAAGAAGGTTAAGTTTGAATATCAATTTAAGTATGGAAAAAAGCTAAAGATTTAATCTCACAATACTCTTAATATATTCACCTTCAAGCGAATAAGTTGAAATATATTGTGTAAATTTATAATAACTTTACAAATATTTATTTTAATCATTTTAAAATAAAAAAATGAGATAAAAAAATGAGATAAAAATATGATTAAAAAATTAATTTTACCTTGATAGTTTAATTATTGTTTTTACGTATCCTCTAGTATAATAAAAAAACTTCAAGTCATGTAGTTCTTTCTAACAGCATGAATTGGTTGATTTTAACTAAAAGAAAAATGAGATAAACTAAAATGTGATGGAACTATAAAAGTTTAAGATTGCCACACTGTTACAACTTTGGAGTTCCAATTTTAAACCATACAATAATTTACAATAACTTCTTTAAATATGAAATAAAGTATAATGAAAGAAAATTTTAAATTTGAACAGGAATTGGAATCATCAAATAGTCACACATTTCAATTTTTAAAACATAGAATTAACGAAATGTCTCATCTAAATTAACCTTTTTAAACGTGAAATAAAACATTTACGAAATTGATATTAGCGAACATTTTGATTTATAAATAAAAATAAAAATGAACATTTATGTAAAAGAATAGCGAAAAATATTTTCTTTTTGTTTATTTTTACCTTTTTATTATTATTTTTAAAACAAAAGATTGATAAATAAAATAGAAAAAGATGATTCAGAACTCCAAACTAGAATGAAATTGCTGGTCTATGCATGATGGTGGCCCACTTTGGCTCAAATAAATTCCCAACCCAAAAGATATTTGCTGGATCATGAGTGCATTCTACCCACTTTTTTTGTTTTTTGTATTTTTACCAATGAAACCCAAAAATAAAATAAAATATAAGCTGGAAACTCTCAAGTGGCCCTAGAGACTTCTAAGCCTTGGTCGATGTCACCCTTAAGATTCAATGGCAAATGGACCAAAAGCACATTTAGATATTATCTTTTACTACTAAAATTGCACAATTTCATTATTTAAACAGTAAATAATTGATATTGTATACAACTATCTTTATTTTTCACTTTTTTTTAATCTTTTATTATATATAGTATTTCAAAATGCAGTTGTCCCACTTCAGTCGTATAAAGAACATTTTCCAAGACTGCAAGAAAAGCTTTTCATCTTCACACATTCATCCTAGTCCACAAACACATGGAGAATTTGTATATTACAAATCTTGAGTAACTTAGAACAAAATTTACTAGGGCATGATGTATATACAAGAGTAACTAAACTAATCAAGAAAGGATTCTTCATTTGATACCAATTTGCTCACCAACCGCCAAAAAGAAAAGGTGTTAAAAAAAAAAAGGTACAGCTATTGTTATCTTGGTCCTGAAAGCTGAACAGCAGAGAGATAGGCTTCACTATTACAATCTGATGGTCCTGAAGAAGTGCCAGCCTCACTCATGGGTAAAGTTGAATAAAACCGAGAACCAAAAACACTACAAGTTGGTGGCTTAGGAACACTAGAGAGACCCTCTAGCATTTGTACAACTTTGGTCATAGAAGGCCTTAAAGACATGTCTTCTTGTATGCACCACAATGCAATTTTAACAGCAGTGTCAACCCTCTCTTCATTTTCACATGTTTCTATCTTTGAATCAAGAATCTCTTTCACCTTCCCTTCTTCCATCATCTTAAAAGCAAAAGTAGGGAAATGGGATTTCTCTGAAGTTTCACTAGGATCATAGTTTTTCCTTCCCCCAATGATCTCTAGCAACACCATTCCATAGCTATAAACATCACTTTTCTCAGATATAGCATAGTTTGTGATCCATTCTGGTGCAAGATAGCCCCTAGTGCCCCTAAGTGTGGTGAAAACATGGCTTTGTTCACGTGTCATGAGCTTAGCCAAACCAAAATCTGAAACCTTGGCTAGGAAGTTATCATCTAGAAGCACATTTTCTGGCTTGATATCACAATGAACAATCTTTGAGTCGCAATCTTCATGTAGGTAAGCTAGTCCTTTTGCTGTCCCAAGTGCTATGTTAAACCTTGTGTCCCAATCCAACACAAATGCACCTATATGCTTATTAAATATCCATTTATCCAATGAGCCATTGGCCATGTACTCATAAGCTAGAAGCCTATGAGACCCTTCGGCACAGAATCCTTTAAGCCTAACCAAATGGTGGTGATGAATTCTCCCAATAGTACTAACTTCAACCCTGAACTCTTTCTTCGCTTGGTCTATGCCTTCCAACTTCTTCACAGCTAGTTGAGTCCCATCTGGCAGAACTCCTTTGTATACTGAGCCAAAACCACCTTGTCCAAGTTTCAAAGAGAAGTTACTTGTTGCTGTTTCTAGATCATTGTAGCTGTAACGGATTGGCATGCTTGTTAAAGTCTCCAAAATGGTTTCATCTTCTGAATTCTCTTGAGGAGACTCAGGAGGCAAATTTTGCCTTTTCCTGAAGCATCTAAGTGCCACAAAGAGCATACCCGAAATGACAAACAATGTTAGTATGACAATGATCACAACAACTATTGTCTGCACATTGCTGCTTCTACTGTGTGTGATAGTGCCTCCTTCACTAGAGACCTTAATGAATGAGACAAAACCAGAATCCTTATCAGATTTCTGAAAGCTTCCAATTCTGTCTAACAGGAAACAATTCCCTGAACTTTTGTGGAAGAACAAAGCAAGGCATGAGCATTTTTCACTGCAAGAAGTTTTGCAACCAACCAAATCAGTTCTTGAAGAGGGTGGAAGAAACTCAAGTGCAAAGTAATTGAGTCCATCATCAGCTTTGAGGAGCTCAACGGTGCTTTTTGAGTCACAAGGTGAGACCAACCCCGGTTTGCAATTAGGACGAGAGTTAAGAACAGAAGGGCAGCTACATTTTTTCTGACCACTGCATATGCTATAGGGATCACAAGGTTGTGGTGTGCTACAAGAATCTTGTGGTATTCTTTTTGGTGAGGCACCAATTGACCCTTTACTTTGGAGATTGGAGAAAGTGATGAAGCCATCACTTCCAAGAATTGCAATCCAAGTGACATTTGCAGCTGATTCTTCAGCAAAAGCAAATTGCCACAACAAGGATTTATTCTTATCATAGAATTTCCAAGAGTTTGCACTAAGTGTAGCTGAAGCTACCACCACATCACCATTTTTATTGGGGCTATCTTTCTGTATAGACCAATAAGGCTGTGGAGTTTGCAAACCCGCGGAAAGAATGACATTACCATGTTCAATCTCGAGAACATAGGACAAGTTGTTAGAATCAGGTTCACTGATAAGTTTCATTCCCTCAATGAAGTCCTGCATTGGCAACAAGGTGTCTGTTGGGTGGCTGAAACTTTGCCATATCACTCTACTATCGCTCCCAACCAAAACCAAATTTCCAGTGTCTTGCAATTCCACTAAAGTAACTCCCTTGCCACTTGTATCTGTTGACCATACCACCCTTCCTCCTTTCTGTAAAAAGACATTACCCTTCTCATCAAACACAAATTTATCAGAATTAGACACAGGATTTGCTCTATTTGCAACCCAAACCACCTTGTTGCTGTTCATGTGGAATATAGCTAGTAGAAACAATGTGTAGTCATTTTCTGTGGTTACAAAGCCAAAGCCAAATTCTCCTTTATATGACACGAGGAACAGGCCATTCCTATCAACCCAATTCATTTGAGAACCTTCAAAACCCCGAGAGAAATTTCCAGTCTGTAGATAACTAGTCAAAACAACTTCAGAAGAAATAAGGATACACAACCAAAGGGTATCCATAACATAAAAGAGAGACCAAAGTTTTCCCATGGTTTTATAGTTTTACTCAAACACCCAATTTCTTCTATTTAGGCAAATTAGATGAGAGAAGAAGAGGGTTGAAAAAGTACATAAATTACAACCTCACAATCACACATGTTTAACAAGAGTTAGGAAAAAGCGAAACTTTCTAAGTTGAATTTTTCTACTTTGACTACACAGTGGAAAAGCAATATGGCACAGAAGAATAAAATGGTGGATATTAAAGTGGCAAATATGAAAGCACCCCAATAAAGAGAAAGCAGTAATTTACTTTGTTCACACAAGAATTGACCAACTCAAGTTTACCTCAATCAGCTGAATCATGTTCTTTCTAATACCATATGAAAAATTGAAGAAGAAGAAGAAACAGAAATTAAGATAGATGGAAACTCTTTAGTTTCGTGGAACAGAAGCCAGAGGATGGCAGGGACTCTTTGAAGAAACACCAATAGGCAATAAGTAAGAGTGAAAATGGGTGATAAAGTAGTTAGTTGGGAGTGCAGAATTGATTTTTTTTACTGTGACAGATCAAGGGAGAGAAAGTTGCACTTGCAAAGGTATGGAAACTCCACGTGAATTGTGAAGAACGTCATAATTAGGGAGCTACTGAGAATCTGTTCAACTGTTGAAGCAAATTATGGCCATGAATGGTATAATATTAGAAAAATATGATATGAATGAAAATAATGATATTATCCACTATGAGTATATATATACAGCTTATAAAGGTTGGCACTTTCTGTGATTGGTGGATGAGATAAAGATTCAAAACAAAGTATTTCTACTTTTTTTTTGTTTATTTTTTCTTAACCTGTTTGTGTTTGTTCCCTAGTTAAATATGGGCTAGGAATTGACACTGACATCTCTCTCTAAGATTATGATACCTCAGGAAATATATATTCAACCAAAGAGATGGGTATGGGTGGTTGAAATTTATAAACCTCAGATTTAGATACATTGATGGACAACTCTTTGTAGAATAGAATAATTACAAATTTGGGTTTTAAGGCATGGATAATATTATCTATGATAGTATATTTAGATATATTGTATGAAGAGAAGCACTAGTTAAAATTTTATTTTATTTTTTGAAACTTTTGTTATTTGATAAGGGAATTGAAATAAGTAACTATTAGCATTTTTTAAAAGTTACTTTCACTGACAAATTTTTTAAAGTATTATTAATGATCAAATAAAAAAAATACTATAAAGTGATTTTTTTTTATTTTTGTCTCTGTTATTTTTTTAATAATTTTTAAATTTTTAAAACCTTATTACCTTTACTTCTTTCCTGTTGAATATTTCTAAACTACTTTCATCATTAAAATTTATTCAAATATAACAAATTTATTCAATTTTATTGTTTTTTATTATAAAATTATTAAAATAATAATATCAATTAATTCATTTTATGTTATTTATTTAATAAAATATTTTAAAATTGTCTGTGTGTCTGAGGTATCATGTAAAAATGAAAAGAAAAAATATTTAGTCAAGTTGAAATTATTTTTTTTAAATGGCATACTTTTATGTTTTACGTTTAATTTCTTTTGGAGAGAAAAATAAGCTTCTTCTTTATTGAATAACTCGGTATTTAAGATATTTTAGTAATTTAAAACTATCAAATTTAATAATAAAACAAAATCATGAAAGATAACTTTGAAAGAAAAAAAAATATTTGATTTTAATGATTAGAGAGAATTTGACTATTTTCATTAGATAAATTTTGCAATTTTATAGTATTTTTAAATATATAAAATTAATAAGACATTTTTCAATACATAAAATTGTAAGAGTAAATTACATCCCAATCTTTAGCAGTTTTATAATGCATTCCAAACATAAAGTGAAACTAATTTCTTTTAAAAAAAACATATCTTTTCTTTTCCTTTTTACCTTAATTGTGCATATCAGCTACTAATTGAAGTCTTAAACTTGTTGCATGATTTGCATGTTTTATTTATTCATTTGGGGACATGTTTTTGGTTGAAAATAAAGAAAGTTCGAAAACCAATTAAATAATGAATTTCTTTGCCAAGATGAAGATGGTGTATAAGGTTAGTCAAAGAAACCAATTCTATTCTTTTTCCAAAGATTCTCTCAAATAGAAGTAGAGAACAAATTATAATAAGTAACCAGAAATTTTTTTTACAAATTATATAATAATTTTCTTCTATACGAATCATTAAATTTTAAATGCATTTAAACAAAAGAAAAGAACTGACGTAGATGGTATGGGTCAATTTATTTTGTTCATATCTTCGATCTCTTATTTTTTTTGTAAAAGAGTACAATGAAACAAAAGCTTCACATTCAACTTTAAATTAAAGACGTTAAAACAAAATGATAAATCAACGTCGATTAACTCAGTCTTTCCAACTAATAATGCAAATTCGATTTTGGTTGTAATCCACATATATCACATCTATCTATTTATTTTACTTCAATTTATCTTTTTTGTCCTATTATAAAATGAGTGTAAATTTACAAATTAATTATTTTATTTCAATTGAATTTGATTATTTATTAGTTTATTGTCTCTATCCGTGTGTGAATAAATCACACACAAACACAAGAACATATGAGATAAGAACATGATTTTATGAGACAAACTAATCAGTTAAGTAAATATAAAAGTTTTTTTTTATTGAAAAAGAAAGTAGAAGTTTATCTTATCTAGTAGTTAATTAACACAAATATATTCTTTCAGAACTTAATTAGTTATTTGTAACCTCAGTTAATCATAACTAATACCAGTGAGTGTAACTTGGATGAGGAAAATCACTTTGAATCAAACATTCTGATTGAGAATTATGTCAAATTAGGATGTTTGTATCGAATTGTTGGGTAATCATTTCAACACCCATTTGAAAGTTGTTTATAGTTAAGACAAAATTAAAAAGTTCTTTAACTTTCTTATTAAATATTAAGTGCTGATATTAATTTTATACACTCTTTTCATCTTTATTAATCATGCTTCCCTCTGTCACGTATGATTTCATTTATGCATTTTCTATGTGATAAGGAAGACGGAATGGATCATTTTAACATTCAGGTGTATATAAAGATATTCATTTTATACTAAACAAAAACTGAGAAGGTGAATATTAATTAATACATTAATCTAATTAATTTGACTAAAATTAATTATATTTATTACATTTAAAAATAAAATATAAACCATCGAGTATGTAAATCAACCAGTAATAAATTGTATTCAAGTTTTAATGAATATTACTTGTTAAAAGAGCCATTTAACTCCAATATCTTGTATAGATTAATGTTATTTTATATTTTAAATTAGCTAAAATAATGATATAGGCTTGAAAACAAGATTCCGTGTTAAGTATTCATTATTTTAATCTAAATGTTACTTTGATTTAAAAAGAAAAAAATTTTAGACCCATCGTCACTTAATCATATCAACAGATGCACCACTTTAATATTAAGAAGAAAGAAAGAAACATTGCAGTATTGAACATTCAAAACTCTCATACGTTATTAACAGAAATTTATCTGCCAACCACTTGTCATTGATATTGGAATGTGAAATGACGCAACTGAAAGGGACAGAACAACATAAAAAATAAATAAAAACAATATATTTAGATCTTCAGTTCTTTAAAAAAAAAACACCTAAATTTCAGCTCCAAGACATGTGGCAAGCAATTTCTATTTCTTTTGTGTGATTCAAAGTTAGGTGCTACAAATACTTATTAAATTCACCCTCAAACATTTTATTAATGTCGTGAAGAAAATATCTCATTATTTAAAGAGGATTGTTAATGACGAAAATCTAACTCTCTTAAGGAAAGAAAACGTTAACTTCAATTTATAAAATTGAGTTAAAAAAAGTTTTACTTTTTTTAAAAAATAATTATTAACGTTTATAAATTTAATTTAAGTAATATAGAGTATTTATCAAATTATGCAATTAATAGTACAGTGAATTAAATTATTCATAAATTATTTATATTTAATTTATTAAATATTTGTCTAAATTTATTTATTTATTTAAATAATTTTAAATTTAAATTTTTAAATAGCCAAACTAAGATTAAGCCCAAATTTTAAATACTTATTTTTTTAGAAAGTGCAAAATTATTAAGATGAGAAAATAGCTACAACTAACATATCAAGAATCATATTATATATCAATTTATTAATAAAGGATGCATAAATTTGAAGAGTAATGGATTGAAACGTGAAGTAATTGTACATGTTTTTAGTTGTTGAGAAAAAGAGATATGAATGGGTTTTTATTTCTCATGCGATTTCTTTTTCAGTTTCAAATCAACATAGTATAGTATACATATTGGGAGAAAAACAAAAGACATTCTTGGCCTTTTCAAACTTATTTTTTCTTTTTGGTGTGAATAACCTTTGCACTTTATAATATAATATGTTAGGCAACGATTCCTGGTCATGAGATCTAACTAAAAGATAGTTTAGTCTTTCATCCATATATGTAAGCAAAATATAGAAAAGAGAAAACTAAAGCCAAAAGGTGAAAAGCTTAATTGATTGGACCTTATTCCCTTGTTGATTACACCCAAAATAGGTCACAGATGAGATCATTGACACCCCATTAGCAAAGTTTTTTAAGTTGAACTTTTCGGTCTATTAGTGTATTGCAAAATTAAATGCACTAAAAAATATTTTTAATATATGACACGCATTATTCTAGTTTGGAATATGAAAAATATATAAGGATTGTAATTTGTAAAAAATGTAAAACAGCAAAGATTGAATAAGTATGGGCATATGTATATATATGCACTTATGAGACACCATTTATTGAAGTGATTGGTGAGAGTGAGCATATATAAAAATAAATGCGTTTTAAAGGAGATTCTGATGTTACCGATGAGGATGCATGAATGCTGGGTAATGGATTTTGTTCGATTGATTAGAAGAGCAATTAAATGGAGTCTCTAGAAATGCCAAATATTTTGGTGAATGATTGAGTGAAGGGTGTTGTAGATGAGCATCTCACCATTTCTAGAGCTCAAAGCCAGGTTTATTGACATAATTTAACTATAGATTAAAATTTATTAAAAATTATGTGAATCTTACTTTTTCAAACTCATAAATTTTGGTCAATATTAAATATGTTTGAAAAAAAGGTTAAAGTATATATTGCTAATTAACATTCCTTATGTGTTTTAAATAAACTATTTTCTTTTAATTATATTTACAGTTAAATTTAGTCTTTTTCTTATTACATTACTATTATTACGTCAGAAATGACTTTTTGAAGCGCTAACTTAGACAACGATTAATAAAAATTATTTTGTAACTATATATTTAAAGAGCTATACTTCTGAGAGCGGTTAATAAAGAGCTGCTCTCTAAAGTCATTAAAGTTGTTTATAAATAAAACACGCTCAACGCATTTTTTTTCTTAGGTAACAAAGTTTGTCTATTTTATTGTAAGTTATGTTCATCTTCTCTGCTCTCGTATGTTCTCTTTATCTTTTTATGTTAGCCTCCTCTCTTCGTCTTCTTTCACTAATAAATTAGTTTTTTTTTTATATTCGTAGGTACCTCTTCATTTTCTATTAATATGCTCTCTTCATCTTCTTCTATGCGCTAACAATTAGTTTTTTTCATATCTATAGGTACCTCTTAATTCTTTGTTAGTCTGTTCTCTTCATATTTTCTATGCTAATAAATTAATTTTTTTTCACATTTGTAGGTACTTCTTTATTCTTTCTTTCTTTCTTCTTCTCTTTGTTAATGATGAATTATCTATTCTCTCTTTATTTTATTTTTCTCTCTATTAACGTTAAAAATCATCCTACTAATTTATTTATTTATTTGTTCATGTTGATGTCGACTGTTTGATTAACATCAAAAGTATAAACTGAAGATTCAATTTTGATTTGTAATAAAAATAAAGAAAACTCACATAGAAATTAATTTCAAATTTTGATTTAAACGTAATAATAAATTAATTTTACTTTATAGCAGAAAACCAAAAAAGAAACCAATTTCAAATTTCAGATTTGCGGTCTACATTTATACTTTAGAGAGCAGTTCCACATGAAACTGCTCTCTAATCTTACACCTAGAACCGCTCTCCAATCTTAACTTTTGAAAACGGTTGTTTAATCGCTCTCTTAAATATAACACATAAGATAGCGCAAGATTTTAGAGTAGTTCTTAACGCTCTCTAATTTAAAATGGAATTGCTTTCAGATCTTTATTCTGGCATAGTGATATTCATTGATATTTTTAACCTTATTCTTCTTCCTTTTTTTTTTGTCTCTTTCCTCTTCTCAAAATAACACATCACATTTTACTCTAATCATCTCACACTTGCATTTTCAATATTAAAGTACTCACACAATATCACACGCGCTCTCTATCCTCAATCACTACACAATACATGCGCAACAATATTGTTCCACACACACATGCACCATATCAACAAGGAGGAGGAAATAATAAAAGAAGAAAAAATGGAGAGAAAGAAGACACATAAACAAAATGCCATAACAAAAGGAGAGGGAGAAAAAAAGTGTAAGAAGAAAAAGATACAGAAAATATGTGATGTGAAATAAAAGAAGACAAGTGAATAATAATAATAGAAAAAAAAAGATAAGAGTTTAATGTATCTAATAAAAAATAATTTATTTTAAACATGTTTGAAAGTTAAATTAAAACAAAACAAGAAATAAAGTTAGATGATCAAAATAAAAAAAAAAGATTATTAAAGGATAAAATTTAAACCAAAAATAGAATTAAAGGATAAATATTTTAATTTACATTAAAAATCCAAGGTGATTGAATTATTATTTAAATCTTTTTGTATAGAAAAATAAATTATTTTTGTTTGTAGATGGATACTTAAAAACTATTATAAAGTATTATTGTAAAAAAATTGAAAATAAAGCTTTTTAGAAACATTAACTCCTTTTATGTGCTTTTTGAATAATTTATTGCTAATCAGAATTAAGAGTAAGAGAGATAATTACACTTAACTTATCTTAAGTTGATCCACAACATTTAAACTACATCAAATCTGTTTTTCTTTTTTTTGTCATAATTTTTACTAATATAAACTAAGTTTTTACCCTAATCTCTCCAAATATATATATATATATAATTTGAATCATTTATGTAACTTAAATTTAATAAGTTATAATTTATCATTTTAGATTTAAGTTAAATAAAATATTTAAATTAAATGTAAAATTTTTTAAACTTATACTAATATAAAAATATCGTGTGAATATATATTTTACACTAACCTTCACCTTAAGGTGATGTGAGTAATTAAAAAAAAAAAACAACTGCAAAAAGTATAAACGTTTTAAAAGCCTGTTTTTGTGTACATTTAGAGCTCCGAGCCCCAATAAAGCCCAGACATACGAACCTTGTCGTAAACGCCTTGAACCAAAAAACAAAAGAAGACTGTCAAAAAGGAAATAGTTTCCCATAAAATAATAATAGTTGACAAAAAAAATATACACAAAATATTAGTATGATCTAATTTATTAAATTAGAGTACATAATAATTTAATATTATATTTTTTTCTTCTAAAATAATAACATAGGTCGTTTTTTATTTAAAACAATTATTTTAACTTGATCATTATTCTTTTGAATCCTAAATATCATTTTTTTAACTTATAGCAAAGTTGGGTGCTGCAAATGACAAGATGGCCATTCAGATTATGGGAACTATGAGGAAAGGGGAATTTTCTTCAATTTCAAAAGGCCCTTTTCCAATATTTCGTAGTACCTTGGAACAAGCATTCATATTGAAGAAGATGCTTGTTATGTAATCGACAATTTGGTAGAAAGGCTCTTTGAGGGGTGCCAACAAGCATTCATATTGAAGTTTGATGGTTTAAGTATGATGCATGCAGTAGTGGACAAAGTAAAGGAGGACCCTTCAAAGGGAAGTGATCAGGAAGAAAAACTTGAGATAGTTTGCAGTGGAAAAGTGTGTTGTAAAGAGTTCATCAAACACTTCCTTGCTGCCATACCACTTAGGCAACTAGAAAACGAGGAGAAGCATAAAGGGACAGTTTCTAAGCCTTATTTTCATAGACAACTACAGATATTGACTTCCATTTTAGCTTGTTATCATCCTTGTCTTCAGCTTCTTCTTCTATTAGTGGACCTTTACAAACCTACCTAAATAGCTAGGCATTAATTATATGAATATGGAAACATTATTTCTGTTCTATATTTAAAAAAAAAACAGAAGTGTTGTTATGAAAATAAGACACCTTGAGAACTCCTCTCTTAGGTAGGTATATATCAAAGGATGTCATGCTCACCTATTACACTCCAAAGAAAGCCCATAAATTTGTAGATATCAAGCACCCTTGTTTGATTAAAGCATTACCAAAAGAGTTCAATTCTCTAAAAGTATGTATTTATGAAATTCACTTCTTGTCTAAGCAAATCAATTCTATTCAGAGTATTTAACAGCTTCCAAGGTCTACTATGGCCATTGTTAAGCCAACTTAGTTACTGCCAAAGTGGAATCACACTCAATAAACCTTCATTTTCTAATCCTTCATAATATTTTGTACTTGTGGGAGTGTAGTTACGTGTCAGAAGCATGCAGAATCCTACAAAAGGAAGGCCATTTCTTGATCGAAGCACGCAGCCACGTTTACAACTGGTTTGGGACAAAACACAGAATTCTGCACCTCACCATCTCACTCTCACTCTCCCATACTCCACCGATCCAAATTTAAAGATTAAAAAAATCAAACGAAGAAATAAATAAAAAAATTGAGCAGATTCTCGAAAATGCTATCTCCCAACCCACTCTCTCTTCTATGTGCATTACTTCTATGCTTACCTTTAGCCATATTCTTCACCACCACTACAAACACCAAACACGCCACTACCACTAACCCCACCCCTATCATCTTTAACAGACCAATGCCAAACCTCAAAAACAAAAACATTAGCATCCCCGAAAACCCCAACAACAAATCACAACCACCACTTGAAGACGATGATGACGAGTTGCTATTCCAAGTTGCCACTCACGTGAAATCAAAGCCCATTAGGCCCAACAAGATAGCATTCATGTTCCTAACCACCATGCCACTCCCATTCGCACCACTGTGGGAATTTTACTTCAACCAAACCTCAAACAGCCTCTTCAATGTTTACGTCCACGCTGACCCCACTCTCCCCTATGACAAACCGTTCTCCGGCATCTTCTCTAACCGTATCATAGTTTCAAAACCGACCATGAGATTATCCCCCACGCTCGCCGCGGCGGCGCGTCGCTTACTCGCGCACGCGCTGATCCACGATCCTTCTAACTCCATGTTCGTCTTGCTTTCTCCGTCCTGCATTCCCCTCCACTCGTTCAATTTTACCTACCACGCGCTCCTCTGCCCCGGCAAGAGCTTCATTGAGATTCTTGCCCATGAGGTTGGAAGCTATGACCGTTGGGCGGCGCGTGGACCACACGCGATGCTTCCGGCAGTGAAGCTTGAGGAGTTTCGCATAGGGTCGCAGTTTTGGGCGCTGACACGTCAGCACGCGAAGCTTGTCGCGAGTGACCGTTTGCTTTGGCCCAAGTTTAATGTGCCGTGCGTGCGGTTAGACTCGTGTTACCCTGAGGAGAATTACTTTCCTACCCTTTTGAACATGTGGGACTCGGAAGGGTGCGTGCATGCCACGCTCACGCATGTGAACTGGACGGGGCGCGTGGATGGTCATCCTCGCACGTACGAGCCGTGGGAAGTGGGGCCCAACCTGATTCGAAGGATGAGGTTAGATAGGCCAAGGTATGGTAACGGTAACGGACGAAGTGATCCGTTTTTGTTCGCGAGGAAGTTTGCCCCTGACGCTCTGGAACCGTTGATGAGAATTGCCAACGACGTAATCTTTTGTGATTGATGGCTGTGATGTGATGATGTATGTTGCATATTCTGAGTTGTTAATAGGTAAATATGTGCGTTGAACAAAGAGGAAGGACCAAGAACGTGAAATGTTTAAATTAAATTGAAAAAAAAAAAAACAGATATTTCATCTTTGATTTAAAATAAATAAATGTATTAACATTAATTTCTCATTTTATACCATTCATTCACTGTATTCCAATAAAACATACTGGCCCAATTTGTTTTGTCAATGAATCAAATTCAAATTTAAATAGAAAAATAGTTAATCTTGGACCAGATGAACGATGGTTTAGAAGCTGGAAGCATGCTAAATTTGGAAGTGCATCAGATCATGTTCCAAATATTGCTGGGTTTCACCGTCAAGTGTTCAGCTGAATTGAAAGGTTAGATTACAATGAAAAAGGGTACAAATAGGAGTAAATCTACAGACTGGTCCTCCTGAATCATGCAGTTTAGTACTTGAAATTTTATTATTCTTCCATTGATTTTTCACATTGTTTTTTATCCTTTAATTTTGTCTTCAGCCACAGTGAAAACAAAGCTAAGTGATGATATGGAATAAAATTATGTCACATTTCAATATATTGGGTAAAATAAACTTATAAAACAGTCTTGAAAATTTAGGGTCATGCAATTCCAGGATTTCAAAGTTTCCCTGTTAATCCTTACATTAAATGATAAAAAAAGATGATAACTTGTTATCCGAACGATCTCATATTTTAATGTCATCGTGGTTGTCATTTGTTTAACTCCCCACAATGAAGGCTAACTCTCCACAAACACATTCAAATATGGCATCATTTGTCACTATTAAGCATTGGTTAGTGTTAACTACTGAAGAATGGAAGATTAGGTGGAGACTACCAGAGCAATTTTAAAATATCATAAACTAAAATCGATGACTCATACAATTTTAAAGTCAAAACAATGTTGTGGGTTTACTCCTATAAATACCTTAAGTTTAAATATATTTTTGGTTTATGTATTTTAATATTATGTTTTTTAGTTCATCAAAAATTTTATTCCCTCTTAATGACATGTTTCAATAATAATAAAAAAAATATTTATAATAATATTTTAGTGGACCACGTTAATAGAGACTAAAAATAAAAAATTGTAAAAATATAAATCAAAATGAAAAAACTCCATTTAAATGATTATAAAAATAAAAACTTAAAATATATTTTAGACTAATATACGACCTCAACATTGTCATCTTTTGTGTTTCTTATGACCCTAAGAACTAGTATGAGGATAAAATGAAATAAAAATATACTAGAGAACTAAATCAAAATAAAATGAAAGTTAAGATACCAATTTATTAATTTAGCCAATAATATTTCTTGAATTAAAATTCACTCCTCTTACCCAATTTGTTAAAGCAAATTTAGTTTATGATGACAAAAATTTCTGTTATTACTTGTTAATAAAAAAATTATAATGTTTTTTTTTAAATTTTTTTGTTAATCTTGAAGTTTAAATATGAAAAAAGTAAACTTTTATTAAAAATATTTATTATAACAAAGATAAAAAGTATAATAAATGTTATTAATAAAAATTCCCTTCTTCTACGTTTAAGATTTTGTATAAAAATTAAGAAAATGATTGGTATTCTAAATTTCATTAAAAATATTACTTGACTTTCTAATACATACTTCACCAATTATACTATCTCTGCTCTTATTCACATGTCAAAAGAGAGTGAAAATTACACAAACCAATGCGTTGTATTGGATTTAATTGTTAAACACACTTATTTATCTTTTCTTGAGTTTCTCTTAACTTTTGAACTATTAAAATTGTATATAAAATTTTTTATTAATTTTTCTATCAAATATAATATTATACCTAATAAAAAATTACATATAATAAATTTTTATTAAAAATTATAAAATTTATTAATACACTAATATTTTTTAATATTATTAATAAATTTATTATTAAATGCTTATGTTAAAAAATTGATATTCTTAAAAAAATATTTTTTAACTTGTGTCGTTCACTTACAATAAAAATTTAAAAATATATTTTTTATAAAAAAATGTAGTATTTAATATTATTAATATATTAAATCATATGATATTATTGGATTTTTAATTTATAGGAGATCTCTAAGATCCAGTTCAAAAAAATATTAGGAAAATAAGCGTAATTAGTATTATCTTTATCTTCTAGATGAAGAAATAAATAAAAATATATTTTATATTTTCATAAATAGATAGATAATGATAAAAGTAATGTTAAATGTCTTACTTATTTATTATTTTTATTTTTTATTAAAGAAATATTAATTATTAAAGATGAAACAAAAACATATTCAACAATTTTTGTAAAATTATTAAAAAAAATTTAATGGCAAATAATGATGTGTGGTAATATTATAATATTGAATATATTTATAAGATCAAATATTACAAGTCTTAATATAACCGACGTTAACGAAATACAATAATTTTGTGTGTTTTGTTAGAATAAAAGTTAAGTGTGGGGTGGTGGAGGCGAGACGGAGACATGGGAGTTGACCCAGTCAGTTCAAGTGGGGAGTTTGGATTCGCAACCGGCGTCTGAGTGCTCTCTCTCTCTCTCATTGGCTTTGCAATTCGCATCCTCGAATTCTCCCTCAATCTTCAAATCACAATACAAAACCCATTCCTCTCTTCAATTTCCACAAAATCTATTTCCTTCTTCGTACCGCAATGTCTCTGAAACCGTCGAATTCGTCGGAGAATCCGATACTTCCCATGTCGGATCCTCCCCACAACCAAGACGACGACAAGCTCTTCAAAGGTTCCGCCATGACCAAACGAGGAGCCTTCGCTGCCATCTCTTACATGTCCTGCGCAGGTTCTCTCTCCTCTACCTCTGCATTTTTTTCTCCAAGTTTTCAATTTCTTTTTAATTTCTATTTTATTATTTAATTTATTTTTGTTATGCAGTTCTGTTGGTGATGTTCAATAAGGCTGCTCTTTCTTCTTATAACTTTCCATCCGCAAATGTTATAACACTTCTTCAGGTTCGTACTCACTAAGTTTTTTTTAATTACGTCTTTGTAAGTTTACATCTGTATTATAGATATAGTTCTTCATCTGTTATATTGATAACCGTTCTCCGAATTATTTGTATTATATGCCCTAAAATTACTAGAGTTTAAACATCTTAAAGTAACAAGTTTTTATTGTGGAAGAATACGTTTATTGGAGTGAAGATCTAAAAGTGTAATAAATGTTTTATTTTTAATAGAATTTTACTATTATTAGTTGTTTAAACTCAGTTCTAAGGGTTGATGTTAACATTTTCTTTTTAAAAACTCTAACCATGTCTTTTAAGTGCATTTTCTTCTAAAACTGGAACAAAAGCAAACTAGCAAGTTATTGGAATTAGAGTGTGTGGATGAGGTGAATGGCTTGGACTGTAAATTTTAGAATTCCTTGCAGTGTCTTCTACTGTGCTGTATATACTTCTGTTGACCGCTGAGGCCTTACAATTAATCAATTACCAATGTTGTTGTGAAGATCCACTTGATCCATTTCACGTTTTTAAACACAAATCTATGTTTCTTTTTTCCCCAGATGGTATGTTCGTGTTGTTTTCTCTATGTATTAAGGCACTGGAGGGTGATTTCTTTCACAGCAAGCGAATCTTTACTTATGTCAGATAACTCAACAAAGTTTGTATCATTGAAGACTTTGAAGCACACTCTTCCTCTGTCTGGAGCTTATTTACTTTACATGGTACACCCTTCTTCCCCCTCCCCCCACAACAAAGGATCAATACATAATAACGTAATAATTTGTTTATTTTTATTTTTTATTCACCCATGTACTTCTCCTTAGCTAGTCACCATGGAGTCTGTTCGTGGAGTAAATGTTCCAATGTACACCACCCTTAGGAGGACCACAGTGGTATTTACAATGCTGGTAGAGTTTGTTCTGGTAGGGCAGAGATATACACCCTCTGTCATTTTCAGGTAAATTGCTTTCTCTCCATTTCATGATATATCTGCAGTACAGTATGATATAGTTTCAATGAATCCTTGATTGATGCACCTTCAATTTTAGTAACATATAGATGCGTTATTTAATGTGGGAGTAATGAATTGTGTTATTGTATGTATATATATAGATGCATTTTAAGGTTCTTTGGACCTTTGCTCTTGTTTATTGTTGTTTATTATTTAAATAGGTCATCCAACATGATGATTACAAATTCCATAGGATGCATTTGGATAACAATTTAATTAAGTGTTTACTTTATAAACTCTTGTTACATAAGGGCTTTATACCACTAATTTGACCATAAAATTTATTGACATAAGCTGAAAAGAATTTATTGACCATAAAAATGAACCAAAATTGAAAACATATTCTTTATTACTGACCAAAATCATACTGTCACAATCTTTAAACACACAAATCAAATAACAAAAAATGGCCTCCAACACATTAGAAAATTGGAATGAAATAATAAAAGAAGGAATTAATTGAAAAAAGAGGGGACACTTGGGTATGCGAACAAAGAGTCAAAGACAACAAAGTTAAAAGATTGAAAAAAAAAAATGTGGCTGCAGTTTTCCAAGAAAGCAGTCGCAACTCCTGCTATAGCATCGTGGTAGTGCACTATTGATAAATATGTTTTTACTATGCACTGAAATTTAATTATTTTGAACAAATGGGGATGCCAAACATGACACTGCTAACCATTTCATCAAGGAGGTCCAAAACCATGTTATAAAGCAACTCTCAGAAGGTTAAGCTGGTAGGTTGTTTGAAAGTATCTCATATTTGGGGCAAATATCTCCTATTTAGCATTTGTACAGTTGATTATATATTTTCTGTAAATATTTTGGATTTGACTTGTATTGTTTTCCTAATTTCCTAACATTAGAGATTGTCATGTATATATAATCAATCTTGCTGGAGAATTCCTCCTTGTTTAAATGCATAAAAATCAATGAACAAAATTTCCACATGGTTGACAAGTATTACTAATTTAGTATCTTGCATCTGTTTGATGATGTCTCACCTTATCTATTCTCTTCTTCTTATACATCTTCAACTTATGTTGAAGTTACAGAAAATGCTCACATTAACTTCATCCAAACAACCTAATGCAAGACAAAGAAACTTATTTGGTTTTGGAGAAAAAGGGAAATGAGGTATAATGAGTTTGGGACATGTTGTGCAGTATGCTTAACACATGCAATCTATATATGGTAAAGTGGAAAATAAGTTATGGCAGATGCTCTCCCTGCATAAACTTTTAAAAGAAGTTGATGTGCATTTGCATTAAGAGTAATATAACCAGTTCACTGTTCTTATGGCTATTTCCCCTTTTCATTAATAACTTAAAGAAGTTGAAGTTCAAACTGTTATTTGAATGAGCATCATCCTGATTCCTTCATTTAACTGAAATTTATAAGGCTGTTATCAGTGTTGGCTTGATTGTCTTTGGTGCATTTGTTGCGGGAGCGCGGGACCTTTCTTTTGATGCTTATGGTTATGCTGTTGTTTTCATGGCTAACATCACCACAGCAATATATCTTGCAACCATAGCTCGGATTGGTTGTATTCCTATTCTCTCACTCTCCCATACAAAGTGGAAATTTAATTCCTTGTTTTCTACTTGGTGTGCATTTTCTTATTTGTTTGTTATTTCGTGTTTTTATCAGGGAAAACTAGTGGTCTTAATAGCTTTGGCCTAATGTGGTGCAATGGTAAGCTGATAGATTGTGTGATGGCCTATAAAATTTTCTTACTTTTTATACTGTAAATATAATTCCTGATTTGAAATACTTTCTATTGTATTTTAGGTGTTGTATGTGGGCCAATTTTGCTCATCTGGACATTCATTCGTGGTGACTTGAAGACAGCAATCAATTTTCCGTATCTCTTCTCACCTGGTTTTATAGTATGTTCTGCTTGAGCCTTTCTCCTTCAATAAGTAATAGTTTTCATCATTGGACATTGTTGGGTTACTTGCCAAAAGAAATATGATTTGTTTCTTGGGAAGTTAACAATGATTTTGGAAGTCTGTCTCAAATAAAAAATTTGGGGATTAAAAGAAAATGTTATAGGACTAGCATTAATAATAAAATAAAGCAAAAATATAAACACAAAGATGGTTCAGCTTAGAGCCTATGTTCACATGCAAAGACAACTGTCACATATATTCAATGCATAAATGTGATGGAGAAAACAAAAGGGTTATCACACTTTACTCAAACCCTAATCCCAAATTCACCCAAATATCTTCTCACTAATGTGTGCATTCAACTCTCCATGAATATATGAAGAGAAGATATGAAGAAACCAATTCTCCGGTTCAAGAGAGATAATGTTTGTGGTACTTATAATTTTTAAATGTCTTGAAACAAATGGATTTTAGGGCCTTCTATCTTTGACTCAGGATATCCTTAATTCTTACAAAGCAACACAAAAATTAGCATCCTATAATAAATTCGAAGCTTTTGCTAAATAAAGGGAAACCTCCAAAATTGATAGTTTTTAGTCAATAAAATTCAATCCATTATATAGCAAAAAAAAAAAAAATACCCCCTCCTTGTGCACTTGGCTATCCTGAGCTATTTCAGCCACTTTATGGAGGAAAGGAGGGTGTACGGTAAGAATAAACAACATAGGGAAAAGTATGAATGAACCAAACCTGATAGGCTGCTACATGTGTTCCATGTTATTTCTATTAAAAGTTGATGGAAATTTGAAATGTAACAAACTACAGAAGGCAATGCGGCACATTAACATTATAGACCACAAGTTGGAAGGCTCTCAAGGGGTATTTGATATTTTACACTGTGGTAGAAATATTACCATTGCTTTTAGAACCAAACTAGACCAGCCGGTTAAGTAACCTTGAGAAATTGTGTTTCCATAAATGGTATTTGAACCTTAAAACCAATACGAAATCAGTTGATTTGTTTGAATGGGTCAACTTATTTGAACAGGAAGATCTTTTTGAACTGGTCACAGTTCACGCAATTGAACTGGTTCTTAAATTAAAAGAAAAACCATTTTAATCAAACCAATTTGAACTAGTCATTAAATGTTGTTTTTGGTTTCCAATTTATAACCAAAACTCTGCCTTACTCGTTTAATTTTGCCTTACTCGTTTAATTTGTTCATTGTGGAACAGATACGAGCTTGTATACAGCAAGAGTTTGGCTTCTATTTATATTTAATAATGAGAAGCTTCACCTCTAACGCTTTTACTTATTCAATGTTACTGTAGAATGAGAGACTTTACTCTTTGTCTTCGACATATTCAATATGGGACCATTATAGGTTAAAAACCATCGTATTATTTGTAAAGTACTTTAGTTCAATATTTGTTTTATGTGATAAGTTAATTTAATTATACTAAAAATGTATTTCAATGTTTTTTCCATGATTTAATTTATACAACTTAACATATGCATATTATACTTTTTCTAACATATTGTTTTATATTTATACAACATATGGGTATGTGTGAAACCCTGACGTTGAATCTCAAAATCTTAATCCTTTTATTAGTTTAATGATTGGTTTGATTTTGAAAACATTGTACATAAGAAAATAAATGTTGCTTTTTCTGAATTTGTTGATTAGTATCCTTTTGCCCGGATAGACCCTTGATATGTGAAACCTGCACTGGTCATTGACTATTTTGAGTCAAGTCTGGTGGACCCATTTAAGGGGATTGAGCACTTCTAGACTCTAGTGCCCATTTTTCCCATTCACTAGACTTAATCCAATTATTTTTTTAAGTTGAACCAAATTTGTTACCGCATGGACCACTTTCTAATTCCCCTTTCCATTTTCCAAAGTGCTTGCATGTCTAATGTAACTAAGAATTTTATTTTATTTTATTTTGCAGCATGTATGATTAACTCAATGGAGAATTGTGTATTTCTTGCATTTTTGTTCATAAGGAGCAATTGCCTTATGTTTATGTTAATCAGCACCAAGCTATGATCCTTGTTTCCTCAATTTGAAATTATGACAAGTTGTAATATGTATATATTTCGTTTTTTTTTTTTCCTTTTTTCTTGGCCAGATTATTCTGCTTTTTTCCTGCATACTGGCATTCTTCTTGAATTACAGTATTTTTCTGAACACAACTCTAAATTCAGCTCTGACACAGACAATTTGTGGTAATCTGAAGGTATGTATGCTTGCCATTTAATTATTTTACCTTGCATGAATAGTGCACCTTGATTTAGAGGTTGTCAATGATGATGCTACGAGGCCTTACTCTTAGAATGACGGCACAGTATGAACTTTTCTGTGGTAGGACTGATTGTGTGCAATGAGATTTTACGAAGTTTGCCAATGTAGGGGGAGAAAAGGCAGTATTAGACTATTAGTACTTTATTTTGTGGGTATTCACTTCTGGAATTTGGGGAAATCTTCTGATACATTTTGGTGTCACGAAATACTCAGCTGTGATGCAGATGAGAGAGAGAAGAGAGAGATTTACATAATGTGGCAGTAATTTTGCTTGCAAGCAGTTTCAGAAATGAAAAAAATAAGCTTAACCTGATGATTTTCTTGCAAAATTGTCTTGTTGAGAATTTATAGTTGACTTGTAGATATGAACAGTCGGGGAAATGAATTAGAACTTATTATCTTATTGTTGAATATTTGTTTCTGTTCAATTAGCCTTATGATATTTAATTGAGATTGGAAACCTTTAGTTAAGACTTAAGACGTCACACTGACTTGACACAATATATGTATTGGTTTTAGTTGGACTTTGGAGTTATCTTTTCCACATAACGCCATGGAGTCTGATGTGCACTCCTTCATCCCTTTTATGTTCTGACTTTATTTGTTTCAGATTGATGTCATGATAGTTGTATGCAGTTTTTATGGTTGAATTTTAATTATTTGGTATTGATGTCTAGGATCTATTTACTATTGGCCTTGGCTGGATAATTTTTGGTGGGCTACCATTTGATATTGTAAGTGTTCTTGTCGTGACTGCTGTTCTGGTATTCCCAGTAGGGTGTATTTTTGCAGTTAATAGAATGTGTTTCGATTTGATTTCAGTGGAATGTAATTGGGCAATTTCTTGGTTTCGCTGGCTCTGGTTTATATGCCTACTATAAGCTCATTGGCAAATAACTTGCTCAAGTCCTCTAGATAAAGTATTTTTTCAATTAGGGAAAGCCATTTGCTTCAGCCATCGAGTCACCCGCTGCATCTCTCGAAAAGGGTGAAGTATCTGAATCAAACTCGGGTACGTGGACCTTGTGATTGACTAATCTATACTTCTAGGAAGTTTTGCTAAATACAAGTTGACATGCAAACAGTTTCTGGGGGATCAGACAACACCTATTTGTCATCATGGCTTTATTGTGTATTCAAAACTCTATTGATGTAGTAGAATGTTCATCCATTGCGTTTGATGAATCTCGTGCTTCCCTCTCTTTGTAAGTTGTAACTGTTAACAAGCTCTGTATTTTAGTAGCAAATTCATTTTGGGGAGAAAACTTGTGGTGAATACCAATCCATTTCACTATCCCCTCCTCTCTCTGATTTGAAAATGCCAATTAAAATGACAATAGAAGTTTTTCATAATGATCCTTGGCTCCTTTAAGCACGTTAAAATTTGAGTTGAGATTTATGTCCATGTGAAAAATACTGTTGGGAGAGGTTTACAGTCTAAAGATACATATTCCCCTAAGAGTAAAACTTGATTAATGATTACTAAAATTATAACTCAGTTATTGTTTGAATATATTTCAGTTTATGAATAAAATAAAAATTTGTTTTTATTTTTAATAATTGAAGCTGTAAATACCTGCAAGATTATCTTACGACATAGGTAAGCTCTATAACAAGCATGTGGCTTTTGGCACATGGACATGGTGAAACGCTGCTTCTCCTCACAGCAAATTAATCTTAATAACTTGTATGATTCAATATTTTTATTTAAACGTGAGTTTTCACTTCAACAAACTTGCCAGGAAAAGTGAGGATGACCGAAAGAACCAAGGTTCTCTATTGAAAATTGTCAATAAAAAGTCCTGGCCATGAAAAAAAATTAAGTAATGTTTTGGTCGGAGTGAAAATGACTCGAATTCATTAAACATTCATTAAACAGGTGATTTTGCATTTAACTTTAATATATACATGTATGAAGAAAAAATACATAATGATTCCCTACTGTAACATTTAACTGTAATTTGAAAAATTAGTTGGAGACTTACTAAAAATATATAATTCGTAAAGTAATTAAATTACCATCACAAAAATTCTAGAAGAATGCTTAATATATTTTGGAATTAAAATTTTGAAATGCAATTTATATATCAATTTTTAAAATTATTTTTGAAATAAAAAACAGTATGATTAAATAAATAATTTTTTAAAAAAAGATATGTATCACTTTAAAAATATAAAAGTATAATAAATATTTTTAATAAAAATAATTTTATTTTAAATAAATATTTATTATGTTATCTGTAAATTTGAGAGAGTACTATAATATTGTATTCTTTTTAAAATTGATTATATTTTTTTTAACATTTTAGATGTTAAAAGATATTTATTTATTTTTTAAATAAATTATTAATCTTATTATCTTTATATTTATAAGTTAACGTTGAATTTACCTTTTAACTATTTTAACTTAAAGAATTGAAACTAATAAAATCGTTAAATTAAAAAGAAATGCAAAATGTAATATACTTTTTGTTTTGGTCTGAGATGTAAGCCCAAAGAAAAATGTAAAGAGGAAAGCCCAAGCCCAAAGGAAAAAGACCGTTGAGGGCGCGTGTAACGGTTTTCTGTTCTCGAAAAAAAAGCCTTGTTGTCTTTCTCTTCCTCGAGACACGAACACATTGCAGAAAGCAAAGTGATTGCTATGGAATTAGAATCTCCCCGACAGAAGCAGCATCAATTGCAGTGACGAAAATTCCACAATGCGAATGCGTGTTCTTCCCTTCCAAGAATCTCTCTCTCTCTTCTGCTATAAACCTTCGACATCATCGATGCCATTTTCTCACGCAATGGGTGAAGACGAGAGTGCGTTGATAGTGGCAAAGCAGAATAGCCCTAACCGATCCTCTACTTTCGACATCATCGATGCAGTTTTCTCACGCAAATCCTTCTTCTACGATAGGCTTCCCTCCCAACCCCTTAGACTCACTGTACTCAAATTGGACGGATCCTGCTTCCGTAATCACTCACTCCCTTTCTCTTCTAATTATTATTAGTTTTTGTATTTAATGGAAGAGAGTTTTTGTTCACACAGATGTTCAAGTTCCGAAGACGGCAACGATTGCACAACTTAAGGACGCAGTAGAAGCCCTCTTCAGTCACATAGGCCCTTCACAAATTTCATGGTCTCCCCCTCTCTTTCTCTCTTATTTCGTTTGGCTTCAAGTTTAGTAGACTACTGTCCAATGTCATTCAGATATAAGTTAATCTAAGGAGAAGCGAATAAGAATTTGTTAGATAATTTTTTATTAAAATATCATATAATTTCATGTCTTAATAATATTAAATATTGTAATTTTTAATAATGACTTATTTATTATTTTTGAACAAGTTAAACAAGTTTGTAAATTAATTTAAACTATATAGCAAAAAAAAAATTTAATTTAGACTATATATTGCCATGGAAATGTGTGCTCTTTTTTAAAAATGTGAGAGAATTCATTTTGTTACTCTCTCAAAATTTCTTTTTTCTCTATTTTACATATAAATTTTTTAAAAGTATTATTTTTATCTAACTTTTTTAAATTAAAAAAAATTAACTTAAGCAAGATTAAGTAGCTAAAAGTAATACGTTTATACTGAAAAAGAATGTATTTATTATTAGATCAAGAATATGAAAATATAATAATTGTTATCTTTTTTATTAAAAAAATATTATTTGTAAATATTTGAAATCTATGGACCTCTTTGGTCACTTCTAAGTCAAATTGCGATTGCAGTTATACAGTTTCAAAACCTTAAAATTATAGAAATTGAAGAAAATGTGATTAATGCGGCTATAAATATGGTCCCGATGTAATGTAACTGGGAGATCTTTAAAATCTTAATGTATTGAAATTTTGGCACCCTAATGAAAATGATGTAGCTCTACCCTTATATATGTGTGTCCTTCTTTATGTTGTTGAAAAATGTGGTTCTAGTATCCTGTACTCGTATTCCTAGTGGAACTGGTACCGTACGCAACTTAGAACATTCTGGATTTTTTTTTTTTCTAAAATTCGCGGATCAGAAGTGGGATGTTATTGTTTTTTTTTTTTTGCTGTTCCTGTGATTACTAGATTTTTATTGTCGGTCGTCTGATTATATATTTGTGTATATATTTAATTATTATTTTTTGTGAAGGCCACTTGTTTGGGGGCAGTTTTGCTTGTGCTATGATGGGCAGAAACTAGTTACAGAGAAGGATTATCTTAGACATTATGGCATCAAGGATGGTGACCAGGTTTGTAACTTTTTAAGATTTATTTATTGAACAGCTGGCATGATCTCAAGCTACATTGTTATAGTGTAATACTTCACTAAAAGCAAAATTATTACACTTTGAATGAACCCATGCGTTGCTGTTACCCTTCTCTCTCGTAATTGTAGTTTGGAGTCTCTTGATTTGCTTTTTGTCATTAAGCATATCAGTTTGCACTTCATTCGTAAATGGATTTCGGAAAAAATTATTAAATGGGGATGAAGTTTGCAGATGGAAGTTGTCTGTATACTGAATTGGCATTTGGAAAGTTCCATGCATTATTTGTTCGTAATTTTCAAAAGATGATGTGAATAGACATCAGACTGGCGTACGAAAGTACGAAACATCATTGCTGATATAAATGGTAGGTTTGTAATCCATGTTTTTGAAAGACAAAATTAATGATAATTTTGTGCATCGTGGGGCTTTAATTGGGGTAGAATACTAACTTCCTAGCGTTGCCAGCAATATTACTAACAAGTAACAACTCTCTGGTTTCAACTAGTTGGTGGCTCAGTTTGAACTTTTCTTTTCTAGCATTTCATGGTTGTAGAAAGTGTCTGTGGTGAATGGGAGAGGAGATTTGAAGCACGGGATATAAATTTGCTTTTGTTCTAATTTCTTATCATTTATCAAAGTTAAGAACTAAGTATCCCATCATTGTTAGGAATGCTTCTCTTTTATCATGACCGCAATAACGTGTTCTGGAAGTCTAAAGCACATAAATCACAGTTGTTTTTCCTTTTTTCGGTTTCTATAGCTCTATTTCATCCGCCATGTCTCAAACAGTTGCTGCTTCATTCAAAGAAAGAGGTCAAAGAAAAGAATTGTTCGTTTGAAACTGCAGAGGAGGTAAAAATTTTCCAGTTGTTCCTTCTGTTAACTCTGCAAATGTTACGTTGTTGCCTGCATGATTCAGGAACCAGGATGCTGTTTGTCAGGTTACAGTAGTTGAGTCTACTAAGCCTGTGCCCAGGGTTCCGGAAGTCCATGCATCATCAGGAAAATGTAAAAAATAAACGATGAGATTTAAAGAAACTGTTTCGTCAATAAAACTTTATTTAAGGCTTAATTTTTTTTTTCACACGCTTGAGTGTTAACATGTTCCATAATTACGTTGACCACTTTGTTGTGCCCATTTATTTTGGATTTTTGTAAAATTAATTTTGAATTGTTGAATGTGATTGAGATGCCTGTTCAAATTAATCTCAACTCTAGAAGTTATTTTAGAATGTGTGTCATGGTGTGAGATGGCTGTAGGGAAGAGAGAGATAGAAAGTAAAGAAAAATAGAAGAAAGAAAAACTAGAAATGTAACGTGTGATGTGAAGGAAAAGAAGAGGGAAAAACAGTTAAGTGTAGATGAAATATAAGAAAAAGGGGTGTAAGAAAATAATAATTGATATTGATATGAACATCGAGATAAATATCTCATGCATGTTCATGCACTACTCTTCTTAAACAAGTCCTGACAGCCGGATGGTGCAGGTCATCGCAAGTGAATAGCTATCAACCCAAAGAAAATTGTGATGATGATGAAATTAGTTCTGGTGATGAAACCATAGAGAATGCAAAGATCAAGCATTGCATGGAGGAGGAGGAAGAAGAACATGTTGGAAAGAACAAATTAACTGGCTTTGTGGGAACATTTTTCTCGTACACTCCACTAGCAAGTGTGAGAAAAACTAGAACTAAAAGCAGGATTTGGCCGTCCACAATTCCCAGGTGTTTAACGGGCAGTTTTAGAAAGATCAAAAGCATTGTTTGCTTTGGCAGGAGCCGGCACCAATCTCTCAGACTCACATGGAGACAGTATTAATTTTTGGAAGATGTTTCTTACAACATACAACACAAATCCAGTAACTCACAACAGATGAAAGTTGGCTGAAATCCTTGTAAGATTTTGATTCCCATGCAAAAACAGTGTGCATGTGAAATTGTGTTGCTGTGGTGCTTGAGATTGCAGTGAGATTGGGTTGTAAATATTGCAATGTTTTATTTTAGGTGATTCTATTCCATACTCTCTTGTTTGGAGTTCTAGAGGTAGAAACATCATGTCTTCATGGGACAAAATTCTATGATTTACTCTTGTATATTCAATCCAATTTTAGAGAAAATGCAAAAATTTATTCTAAAAATACTTTATAATTCTTATAATTTCTTTACAAGCTCATTTCAAAATTTTAATGGTCAAATTTATGGCATATTAGATAAGTGCTTAATTAAGGCGTATTTTTAAACGCACCCTTAAACTCGTACACTCACTACGTCTATCCTTTTACTTCTCTAATTTCCAGTAAATATAACTTCTTTATTTTCTATAAATTTTAAGGTTTTATTTTAATAATATCCTTTAATCAAACACGAAGTGGTTTTTCTCTCCTTTTGAACGAAATGTTATTTCTTTTCTATTCAAACATTCTCTAAACTTCAAGGAACTGGTAGGGTACGTTTAAAAGGATCTTGATATATAGCTGTCAAATGGACAGAATGTGAATATCTTTGGTCCTATAACTCATTTTCAGTTCTATAATTGTGTAATGTGCCCCCCCCCCCCCCCCCCCTCTTTTTCTTAACAAGCAAGTGTTCGCTTGCACAAACAAGTATTGTTTATATTGAATTCCTAATAAGTCATCTTAGTGCAATCAATCAAGATATATAGTTCCTTAGCAGTCAAAAGTATTTTAAGCAAGTGTCTTTAAATTTGCTCCAAGCACCACTTGCTTGAGTTAGCACTATTTTTTAATTAATATTATTTATACTTATTTAATAGTATTGATACTTGCAACTATTTTAATATATATGCTTGGAGCCACAAAATTTGAAAACTAATTTGATTTAAAGCTATTACAATTTAATAGTAGCGAGGGATTTGGATAGTTTGCGTGAGGTTACCCGTTCAAATTTAAATGATTCATAACTAATGTATTTTGTTTGAAATATTAAAAACTACAATATTTTGGTTATGTAAAATAGATATTTGTTTATATTTAATTGAAATTAAGCAAGTTTCTTGTAGAACATATCAGATGGGATTATTTTGGGTTAGAAAAACTGTTTTTGAAGAATAAAAGTTGTTATTTGATAAGTTTGACAAACTATCAAAGTGGAAAATTTTAATAATAGAAGTTTTACTATAAGAAATTTTTTGAAGTTTATGATTAAAATTATTGAATTATATTTTTGATTAACATTAAATCAAATTCTTATTAAACTTTTTGCTATTTTATTTGAACCTTGAAAATTAAATATTTTAAATATAAAATAAGCTATTATAAATAATTTCTTCTTCTGAAGTACTACGAAAAAGTGAACCTAGCTTTTAAAACAAATAAAATAAAATAAAATATCTTAAATTACTTTTCATCTAACACACTCAAACATAAAACTTATTTAACATTATTAATTAATTAATTATGGAAAAAAATTCACATATAAAACAAATACACCCAACAAATTGATTTAATAATGCCAAAGCAGAGTTTATCATGATTTTTCAATGAATTCCGTAGTGGGTCATGACTATGAAAAGAGACTGCAGGTGTTTTCTATATAAGTCGATATATTTGACACGATAATTAATGAAAGATTAAAGTTGCAACTTAAAATCTTTAATTATTGTGATTATGTTGAACCTTTTTTTCTTTGATAATTGATTATGTTGAGCCTTTTATCCCTCTATCTGTATGGTTCCTATACTGAGAAATTTACGGTGCTAGTTAGCAATTTTTTCGTTGAGCAAATGAAAAATTGCAACGAAAATATAATAAGATCGATCGTTTGGTCCATGAAAGTAGATCCTTACTTCTCTGATCAGCAGTCGTTCATATTTCATGAGATCAAATCATAATTCATAATCAATACTCTGCGTTTTGATGTTAAATGTAACAATTTCGTTTTTCTTTTTGGTTATATTTTCATTCAAAATTTAACATAATATATGCGAGTAATCTAATAAATAGTTGAGCATCTAATTGAAATAGGAGAAAAATAACTTCACTTCTCTTCACAAATTTTAATTCAATTATGCTTAAAAAATACACAGGTTACTTGTCATTAAGCTTAATAACATCATATTTTATTAAATTTGAAATCGAAACGTGATGAAAGAATCAAATTATTACGTTAAAGAAAATAAGTATCAAAATTTTCAATTAAAAATAAATAACCAAAATCGTACAAAATACATAGTTAAAAAACTTAAAATGAAATTAAATATAATTAACATTTTTGAATCACTGATTAATAGAAGAGTAACGTATTGAAATTTTAGTTACTTTGTTTTTATGCAAAGCCGTAAACGAACTCTTCATTGACTTTACGATCACTCAGCATCTTCTCATACGAAGACAAGACTACTCTCAATGAACTGTGTAATCATATGAAATTAAAGTTCTAATTAATTAGGTTCACATTTTACCCTCTTTGTGTTTCTTTCTAAACAAACTAAATTTGATATCACATGATTCATGATTAAGGGATTATATTCGTTATCATGACATAGTTATAATTGCATTTTGAAATTTTAGTGGCTATGCAATACGATTAAGTTTGTCTTCCATCACTAATATGCAAAACAAAAAACATAATTATCAAGCAGTGTTACTTGAACAAAGTCACATAGACCTTTTTTTCCCCTTCATTCATGTGAACTAGTTACCCTAAACCCTAAACTACACAATTTACTATCATTTTTTGTTTTATATTAATAAATATATTATAACTTTACATGTTTTAAATTAGTGAATCTAGCATAAAATATCTATCTAAATTGAAAAAAACTTAATAAATAGTAACTATGTATGCCTCCTTAATTTTTCATCCCTGCTTTAGAAGCAGCAGCAAAACGTTCAAAATATACTCACTGCTTGCGTCTCAAAAGCTTGGAAAACATTGACACGAAGCTACAATTTTCTCAACCTTCCATTCCTAACAACTATTGTTTAAGTAGAAATTGCCTAAAGATATGTTTGGGGAGATTTTTATAGAGAAGAAGGAGAAGACATATTTTTTATTTTTAAAAAATATTAATTTTAAATATATTATTTAAAATATAAATTTATACCCTTTTCTTTTAAAATCCTTTTCCCAAACAACTCCTAAGAAAATCTTTGGATTGTGTCTAACCTTTAGAAAAAGAAAAACAAAAAATAAAAAAAGTGATAAATATAATAAGTCATGTAATAAGATAGGATTTTTCTTTTAAAAAAAGATAAATGATATTAATGTGATATATATCATAAGAAAAATATATACCTAAATAAAATAAATATACAATAATATATAACATATGTGATTGAAAAATTGGTTCAAATAACATAACTGTTGTTTTGTGGTTTATTGAGCATCCTTCACGGCAAATAATTAGATACATTATGCTAAAACAAAATAGTGTTCATTTGCCAAATGTTGCTTCTATAATAAGTTGAATATGTGGTTTACATATTACTTAAAAAAAAATGTAAGTAATTATATATTATTAAATACTATCATTTATTTAATGATTGAATAATCCCACCTCATTAAAATTAAAATTTTGCAATATAAATTGAGTTTAACGTGTACAACATCTCAAGAAGGAACTTGTACACTTTATTTGGTCTGTATAAAATGAAAAAGAAATGGATAGAGATTTGAAATGGCCCAAAAAATAGAAGAGAAGGAAAAAAATAATATGGGTCCCATTGATTGTTTCCATTCTGGGCAATTTGCTCAAGAAAAGAAAGTGACACTTTTTTAAGTTATTTTTTGTTACTCCATAGTATATTTTTATTATGAAATCTTATTATTAAAATATTTATATTTTCAAAGATATGGTTATTTATTCAAAAAATCCCTTTTTCTCACACATTTTTTTATATTAAATAACTTATAAACCATCTAATTTTTATCGCTTTGTTTGTATTAATGTTTTTATTCATCAAACGAAACAAATAAGTAAGTTGGATACGCTGAGATGAGCACTTGAATCGCAGAGGACAAAACGCAAAACGCTGAAGTTGGGAGAAACTATTGCGTGCGACGCAATACTCCACGTCGTCCATTACTCCATCCATCGAATCACACGTGTCACTTCATGGTGGGGTACAACACACCAAATTATCAAATTACCCTTTTATTTTTTCTTTACTAAAACGCTTCTCCCCCTTTCTTCTCGGATTCCTGGTATTTCTGTTTCTCGGAGATTCCTAAGGTTTTTTCTTTCTCTCTCTTAATGCCTCTTTGAATTTGTGTAAACCCACTTTTTCTTCTCTCTCCTCCAAGCTTTTAGTTCGTTCACTACTCTCTCAGTAACACAACAGAACCCTTTTTTTGGTTCCTCTGATTTCACTCTTTTCTTTTATTGTTCGATTGAACTCTTTGTGGTAAAAAACTATTTACAAATTTACGTGCTTTTGTTATGTTTTGTTGTGTTTTGGTTCTGAGAAGGTAAAGAAGAGTTTGTTTGTGATGATGATGATTGACTTACTTGTTATGTGCATGCATGTGTTGACTTGTTTGATGGTGGATGAGTGGGTAAGTTGTTCTGTTTCTATGTGAAAATTCAGTAGCTGGGTGGGTTCTCTAAGTTCCTCATTGAATTTGCTTTTGGGAGGTTTATTTAACCATTCAGTGCAAGCATCATTTAGTGCACCTTTGATGAAAACTTCAGTAAAATTAACTTCGATAAAATTAATTTTGAACCATTGTTCATAATTGAGATATGTTCTTAATTAATTTGAATAGTGTGTTTTGTTAAGAGTGTGTTTTTTCATTTGAAAGTATGAGAAGTGAATTTTTTTCTGTAAAACTAATAAAGCCTTAGAATGAGTCACACCATCGAGAGTTTGAAAACCTGTACTAAAGACCTTAGAGTGGAAAAGATAGTTTTCTCAGGCTCAGTTTAATCAAAGTTTTTTTTCTTCTTCTATGGTTTTAGTGTTGAAAACATTGGAATTCGTGGCAATCTTTTATTTTTCATTTGATTATTATTTTATTCATGTTGATTTGTTCTGCTTTTGTATCTGTACTTCATTTGATGTCACTTCATAGATTTTATACCTGCAGATTTGATATGTTCAACAGTTCAATATATCGTAATACGAGGTAAAATGTTGAAAGAGTAATTTATGGCCATCAACCTGTGAATCCTATCCTCCCTATCAAATATTAACATATATTTTCCATTTTTAATGTTTATTCTCTGTCTTACGGCCACATGATTGAGACCAAAATGAATAGAGAAGGGAAAAAATAAGCATTCCTCGAAAACCACTAAATTTGTAATACAACAATAAACAATTCGTTGACATGCCTGTTTATAGGAATAAGTCATTTGTACACACCTTTCTGTACTTTTCATGTTTAATATTTTGCTTATTTCTATCTAACAATCAATTGTTGTGTACATGTGCATGATCAAAAGCTCAAATGTTAATCATCACATTTGAATAAATGTCTTGGGGTTTGTGCAATCTGCTGAATTATTTAATGAATATTACAACTTCAGATCCAAGGATGTCTAAAGAAGCTGTTGCTACTCCATCAGCTGCGTCTTTTGAGTATGAGATATTGGATAGTGATGCTGACATCCTTAGAACTGTTAGACCCTCATCCAGTCGTGCAAATCCATGGATTGAACCTGAAAGGTTGAAACTTAGACACAGAATTGGCCGTGGCCCTTTTGGTGATGTTTGGCTAGCAACTCATCATCAGTCAACTGAAGATTATGATGAGTACCATGAAGTCGCTGCTAAAATGTTACATCCAATCAGAGAGGATCATATGAATATTGTACTAGAGAAGTTCAGTGAATTATATTTTAAGTGCCAAGGAGTTGCTAGCGTATCCTGGCTACATGGAATTTCAATCTTAAATGGAAGGGTATATTTTTAGAAAGTTCATTTATTTCAATGTATAGGAGATTGTTAGCTGCCTTTTTCACCTTTATTTGTTTGTATTCACAGATAAGCATCATTATGAATTTGTATGAGGGTTCTATTGGTGACAAGATGGCTAGACTCAAAGAAGGAAGAATTTCGTTGCCTGATGTTTTGAGGTGATGTGTTTTCAGTTTATTCAGTGAAATGTGCTTATCCTTTTCTTTATATAGCATGTGGGGCAAATAACTAGTTGATACTGAGGGCATGTTACCTGCTGCAGGTATGGAATCAATCTGGCTCAAGGTGTTCTGGAACTTCACACTAAAGGGATCCTCATTCTCAACCTTAAACCATTTAATGTTCTTCTCAATGATAATGATCAAGCAATTTTGGGAGATATTGGTATTCCCAGTCTTTTTCTTGGCTCTTCATTCCTATACTCAGATATGGCTCAGAGGCTTGGAACTCCAAATTACATGGCTCCAGAGCAATGGGAACCAGAGGTCAGAGGTCCTCTGTCATTTGAAACAGATTCTTGGGGGTTTGGGTGCACCATTGTTGAAATGTTGACTGGTAACCAACCGTGGTATGGATGTCCTGTTGGCAAAATACACCAATTGATTGTTGAAAAGCATGAAAAACCCCTTATTCCAAGTGGTCTTCCTTCTTCCCTTGAGAATATCCTCAGTGGTTGCTTTGAGTATGATTTGAGGAATCGCCCTTTAATGGTAGATATTCTGAATGTCTTTAAAAGGTTTGTATTTTTTTTAAAATCATTTTCTTGATATTTTCTGTGACTCTTGTGAGCTTTTGGATCATTTCATAAAGTTGTATTTCTCGTGGATGTGAATATTTTATTTAGTTACCTTCATTTAATGAGGTTCATATGTGAGTAGGTCCACTAATATTATCAACTTGTTTTATATACACGCATTTATGTGCACAGCTGCACACACAGGGAGCCTATTTGGTGAGTCCGTGGTCTCGCGAGGGGATCTAATCTTGACCATACAATCATAAATGGATGTTGAAGATTAGCTTCTCTCATACTCTCACTCGATATCATCTAGATTTTTTACCTCACAGAAGTTCATTTTACATAATTGCATGTTTGTAAACTTCAAATGTGAAGTTATTTTGGAAGGTCATATATGATAACATGAAACCGTTTTTTTCTGGTATTTCAGATTCATGTAGTACCACATCTTAAGGTATACGAAAGCATTAAATTGAATTGTTTCCTTGTGGTGTAATGTGTTCAGAGCTAGTTATTAAATTTTAATATTTTTTTTCAGAAACTTCTGAGCACCATTTTTCTGCTGGACTCTCCAGTGTTGTGATTCTACTTTTTCTATTGGCATGATATTGCGGTAGGGATGATTTAGTTATTTTAATAATTTAGTTAGTTGGTCAGTTATTTTGGTTGGGAAAGACCAGGATTTCAAATTCAGGAGAAGACTCCATCATATGCCATTCTTACTCTTCCTGAACCTCATAACCATTAATCCAGAGTTGGAGGAGGATAGTCAATAAATTTACACTTTTTATTTGTCTCTACACTTTGTACCAAACAATCATACTCCTTCAACAAAATAAGAGCATATTTGCAAACCCCTATGGAACTTTTTTTTTTTTCCTTAAAGCTCCAATGAGTACAGTGTAAATGCATCCTTTGGGAATGATTTTGTTGTGACTGTTCAAGTTGTATGAATTTTTTATTCATGTAAGAATGCATGTTGTCCATGAACAGAAGATATATAATGATGATTTACTAGATCAGAATTGTGATGGTCATATGGGGACTTTCAAATAATGGTATGCTGTATGCTAATAAAGAGTAACATGGGACATGGCCCAATATTTGGTTCTTAAAGTTTTTCTATAAGAAGTGATGACACTTCTCATTTCTATTTTGGAAAATGTATCTTTGTTATATTTCTTTATTTTAGGGTCATATAAATCAATTGGTAATGTAAACCTCTGTATAGCATGGTGAAATATTCATTTGACTTGAAGATGCACCAATGCATAGCTCTTAGCTAGCTCATTTATTGTAGCTCGCTTGTGAAGGCTTGATTGTGTATTCTGAACATTAAATAAAGGTAGCCTATTAGTTGAGGATTAGTGAAAGTGCTCTACATTTTTGCTTCCACTAATCCACGATAGTGTCTGTACCAGAAAGAACTAAAGCAACAATATTTCATCACAGCATGGAATTGTTTGTACCTAGGCGCAATTGTCCTTTCAGTTAAATTCTATTTACCTTCATGAAGATGGGAAAGATCTTCTGTTGAATATTGTTTTATTATTAATCATTCTGCTTTGCAGCTCACTGAATGAACTGGCCAATGATGGAGGATGGAGATATCTAGGGAATGTGAAAGTTATTTCAAAATCAGGTAGCACTGGCTACACAGAATGGTTCCTCTCAAAGGATCATCTTCAGGTGGGGGACATGGTCCGATCTAGAAAGCCTTCCAATTCTTGCAAGCCTCAAAACATGGATGTCTCAGAAGGAACTGTTGTTGGTTTAGATCGTAATGCGGATCAAGGGTTTGTTCTTTTGAGAGTCCATGGTGTTCATGACCCCATTAGAATTCACATGTCAACTCTTGAACGTGTCACCTTTGGCTTGGCAGCTGGTGATTGGGTACGCTTGAGGGATGAAAATGAGAAGCACTCACCAGTGGGCATTCTACATTCCATCGACCGTGACAGTAGAGTGGCTGTTGGATTTATAGGGCTGCAAACTCTTTGGAATGGAAACTCTTCAGAACTTGAAATGGCTGAACCATACTGCATGGGCCAGTTTGTTAGGCTGAAAGACAAAGTTTCGAGTCCTCGATTTGAATGGCGTCATAAAAGGGGAGGGGCCTGGGCTACTGGCAGGATTTCATGGATTCTACCGAATGGGTGTTTGGTTGTGAAGTTCCCAGGGATGCTTACTTTTGGCAATGAACCAAGCACCTACTTGGCTGATCCCTCTGAGGTTGAAGTGGTTGATTTTAGGACTTGTCCTGGGATGATAGATAAGTACCAACATGTAGAGGATCATCACTGGGCTGTTAGACCTGTTCTAATCGCATTCGGTTTATTTACTGCTTTAAAACTAGGCATATTAGTTGGAAAGAAAGTGAGGAGGAACAGGAAGGTCAATGCAATAGACAGTGAAAGTCAATATCTTGATGGTCAAAATGCTAGCAGTGCTACAACAAGGAGATCTTCTACTGCTATAAATCAAGGCAACACAACATGGGTTCCTTCAGTGGCTAACATCCTTTTTAAAGAGGGTGTTAACACTTCCAATGGTCGGTAGTTTTGTTAGCGTTCCAAACTCAATACAGTTACCTAACTGATGCATATATCTTGGCATTAGTCTTTGGAATAGGGAAGCAATTCTACCCCACATATTAGTTTGAAGTTGAAAATACTTCATTTAAAATGGTACTTGCTCATTATACTTAAATGCCATCGGGCCTTACTCTGAATATAGAAGTTGTACATATCCTTCAGAGGGTTAGCTTTGTACAGTCTCCAGCTTTGCTTTGCATAATGAACCTTACAAAAATTTCGTGATGTTCTTGGTGAATTTTAGAAAATATTTGAAGGGTTGGAGTGAAATAAGCAATGAATCAAGACACATGTATGAGTTGATTCTTGAAGCATTGTTCTAGTTCACCACGCTTGATTCCTTTAGTTCTGGATTTTTATTTTTGTTTGTTTGTTTGTGATTTATTATCTTTCTTTCTGCTTTTTCTTGAGCTCCGGAATGTTTATGTTTTGTTGTTCTGAATAAAAAATTCCAAGATACTTACGTTGGGATAATTCTTTTTTCTTTTGCGAAGAGGTTTTTTTTGCATTGCTCAACCGATTTTGGGTGGGGTTTAAGGGAGTCTACAGCAATTTTCTTGGTGGAACAAATTAATGTAAAAATGAGGATATGCTTGGTTTAAATTTTTGTAGAATTAATTTTGAAAGAATCTCTGTTGATTGTTTTTTTCAAAATATATTTGGAAAATGGTATTTTAAATGTAAGTTAGAAAAACTGTTTCATATCGTTTCATGGTGAAACAAAATTATGAAGTGTTTTCATAGGAGATTTGGCTCATAACTAGTAGTTGACTACAAAGGTCAAAAAAATATACGTAGTCACTTATGCGTAGTCTAGAGTGAGTTTTTTTTTTTTTTTTAATTAAGAAAAAGATATTATAATAAAAAAAACTTCAAATTAGTCTTAATTTCTGTAGTTATTTTTAATATAATTTAATCATTTTTTCTTCTCTTTATTATTCATCCATATAAGTAGATTTTATTTATTTTATTTCTTATTTGTACTCATTCAAACATAAAAAAATTATTCTACTTCTTACCCTTTTTTATTTCTTTTTCTTTGTTATTATTTCACTCATCCAAATGGATCCCTAAGAAATAACTTCAACAACATTTGATGATGAATTGTTTCTGGAGGCCTCAAACATCATTATGACCGTAAACAGAATGGCCAGAAAAATTCATAATTTTGAGGTTTGAAAGGATGCACTTAACTGTTCTATTTCATTTTTCTTTCCTATTGAGATAAGACAACGTAAATAGAGGAGTTATAACACTGAAAATTTTCTTTGTTCCATACTTTATACTTTTTTTTTTAACAAAGAAAATTTAGGAGAGGGAATAATACTCGATTTTAAGAAAAGAAAAGTCATTGAACTCAATAAACATTTATAAATGAACCTTCTCTAAAAGAAAGGAGTAAGGTTCAAATCTCCGACATTTTATGCTTTTGTTTGAATAAGAGCAAATAAAAAAGGGAAAAAATAACAGAGCAGAAAGTAGAAGATATTACTTTTTAATATTTTAATGGGCGTTCTTGAAGGAAATGGAGAGATAATACTCAACTGAATAAAAAAAAATCATCTCATGAGCCTGAAATGAGGGGGGAGGGAGCATTTTCTTTTTCATTCTTTTTAATTTTACATTAATTAAAACAATATAAAAATGTTTATTTTTTAAGTTAGATTTAATTATTTAAATTATTATAAAAATATTATATATATATATATATATATATTTTTTTTTTTTTCATTCTGTTACTCGTATAAATGAGTGAAGTGATTTTTTTAAAATCTAAATAATACATTTTTAAATCCTTTTATTTTATTTACATTTATCTTTTTTTTTTACTTCTTTTTCTTTCCTTCGTATTTCAATTCACACAAAGAGTTGAAGTATAGAGGAGAAAAAAAGAGCATTTTTTTTTTCATTTCAAGTAGGTTTTTCATTTGGTAAATTTAAAAAATTAATATAAATTTAATTTCTAGTTATTTGGTATTTTTATAAATATAACCTTAAGTCTTGTACGATCGAGGAAAAGTGGTTGCCATAGTAACAATAATGGTTCAACGCAAATGTAGCGTCCGTCACTTCTTTTTGGTACTAAACACGTGTATCATAGAACAGCTTTAAAGGAGAACGATATTTTGTTTGGTCAACAAAGGAAACAAATCATAGCTCATAAATACTGAACCGCTCTTTAAAATGAGATCCGCAATCTATTTTTGCAATCCGATAATACCCCCTTTCTTGTTTTAGAATGCTTGTCATTGCTGTAATTCACCTACGGTTATAGATTAATGCAGCGTAGCTTTTTTGGCTATTAAACGTTTAAACTTAAACAGCCGTGACAGATGTTTGCAAGCTTATAAAGTTATGCCACACTTCTACGCTCTCGAAAGGAAAAGTAATATGCATTATGTCTAAAGCTTGGATGTGTGTGTTATACACTTGATTTAATAAATAGAAGATTGGAAGAAGCAACAATCCAAAATCTTTCCATCCTATCTATGTTGTCTAAAACAAATGCATTCTGAATGTAACTAGTACAACAAAAGTTTTGACCTCCATAACTAAAAACAAATATGATTGTTACCTGTACATATTCTTGCAAACAAAGTGAACATTTTATGATCCACCGGAAGACGGGGTAACCTTGCAATGGCATTTGGCTGCAGAGATAACAAAATAGAATATACCTTTCACAACCTTCTTCATTACCTCTTCTAGTTTGCAGCAACAATACCCGCCTCCGACACAAGCTGCTCAGCCAAAGCTGAGAGTCGAGCAACTCCTGCTTTCACTTCAGTGAAACAGTCAGTGTTATTGATATCTGTGATGAAATCAGGGTTATTATTATCTTTATTTTGCATCACACTGATATAGTTATCAGCTTCAACACTCAGGATAGCCTTATTCAGAAGTTGTCGACTCATTTCTGTAAGTTTTTGTAGAGCATTAGTAGCAGCTTCAACTTCAAGCTGAGCTGCCTCAAGCTGAAGTTTCTCAATTGCCAAATCTCCAAGGCTTTTCTCACCAATTCTCTCCTGTGCCAAAGCATACAGCCTTTTAAGTTCATCAGAATCTTCTGTCACCTCTTCCCTCACTTTTTTTAACTCTTCCTCTTTCGCATCCAATCTTCCAAGAGTCATTTTAAGCTCCTCGTCTTTTATTGTTAGAGCTCTCTCTGCAGCAAGAACTTCCATCTCCTTTGTTTTTAAGCTTTCTCTGGTCAACCCAAGCTCATTCTCAAGTCTTTTTAGTTGCCACCTCAATTCATTAGTAGGTTTCTCCAGTAGTTGCTCTAATAGTTGATTGTCCATTTCATCTAGAGGTCTTGACGTGTTAATGTCATCATCCTTAATGGAAGCAACAAGTTTGTTTGTGAGATCTAAAATTCTTTCTACTACCGTTTCAGCCTCAAAAGCCTTCAGGTTTGTATTATTCAACTTGTTCTGGATCATCTTCACATGCTCATCCTTCTCCCTCAGCATATTGGTTGCTTCAATAAGCTGCGTTTCTTTACTGTTCATAAGCATCTTAAGATCATAGATTTCCTGGTGAACTTCCACCAGTATCTTCCTAGCATCAGAAAGTTCCAAGTCCTTTTCCTCCAAGATAACCTGAAGAGAAGCTTTTTCAGATTTCAAATGCTGGATTTCTAGCTTAGCATCAACAAGCTCTGACTCTTTCACACGAAGAATGGCACTGGTTTCATCAAATTCAGCACTTTTTTTCTCTAATTCTTCTTGAAGCAAAGCCATTTCTTGGACTGCCTGCTCCAAAGAAGTTCTCTCTTTCTTCAGCTCCTCCTCTAACACCTTCATCAGCTCCTTTTCCATGGACAGATCCCGTTCAAGTTCTTTGTTTCGAGCCTCAGCAAAGTTAAGTTTCGTTCTCTCACTCTCCACTTCTATTTGCGCATCCTTCAAATTCTCCATGTATGACATGACGCTGGCCCTTTGTTCAGCAAGTTCAGCTAACTGCTGCTCCAACAACCGCTCTTGTTCTTCCATTTTATTCCTAGAAGATGCCAATGCCTGCTGAGACGAAACTAACTCAGACCTCACATCACCAAGAAGCTTCTTCACCCTTCTGAAATCCTCCAGCGTCTCACTATTCTCCTGTGCATGTCTCGCAGCATCCTCTCCCAGCCTCTTAAGCTCCTCCTGCGCCAACAACCAATCCATTGCTTGCTTCTCCAAATTGGCCTCTGCAACTCTGAGCTTCTCGCCCTCAATTTCCCTCTGAGCCAAAGAAACTTCTAGCTGCTCCTCTTTGTCTCGAACAGCCCTCTGCAGTTCTCGAAGCTCAGCCTCCTGTTTCTTCATAACCTCATTTGCCTCCTCCAAAAGCCGAGCCTTCTGGCTAAGCTCAGAATCAACAACCGCAGCTTCCTGACTCTTCATTTCCAAATCAACCCTCATTTTCTCCACTTCTTCCTCCTTCAAACTCAGCGCATTCCGAACAACTGCAATCTCCTGATCGCGATCCCTAACATGAAGCTTCAATTCCTCAATCTGGCTAGCCTGAGCAACCAAATTAACAGTAGCCTCCTTCATTTCCTCTTCAAGCTTCTCATACTTAACCCTAGCAGCCTCAATCTCATTCTCTTGCCGCTCCAATTCCTCTTTGGTGTGCTCCAGTTTACTATTCTCCAACAACACAGTCCTCTCCACTTCCAACAAATGATCCTCCTTCCTCTTCAACGCCGAAAGCGCCGCCTGAAGATCAGATTCCAAAATCCGAAGATCCGGTTCCCCTCCGTTGATCCGATGCTCCAGCTTCTGCGTTTGCTCGAACAACCTCTCGAGCAAAACCCTAGCAGACTCAGCCGCTCCATAATCGTTAATGCTAGGCCTATTGTCGTTCAACACCGACCTAACGACAACACCATCCCATAAACGACGACCTTTTCTTCCACCGTTATACACAAAACCTATTCGGCTACGATGCCTCCTGTTGAACCTAACAGAGCAAAACAACTGTACAGGACAGAAACGCACAACAAAACAACCACATCACATTCAAAACGGATGCTCCAATTAAAATCCAAACTCGTTTCCTAAATCTTAATTAATTGAGTTTCCACGAGATTATAGATATCAATTAAGCACAAATCTTAACGAGACTATAATATATTTAAAAAAGAAAAATAAAGAAGCGAATATGAAAAATACAGAGAGAGAGAGAAAAAAGAACCTGAGAATGGGACGGAGAAGAGGAAGGGCGAAGGGATAGGGAGAAAGCCATAGGTGAGGGGATGAGTGCGCATTGCAGTTAGTCGCCGATGGAAGAAGGTGCCATCAACAATCGAACGCAAGCTTTGGTGGAAGATGTAGAAACGACGAGCATGGTTTGAATGCGTTCAGCGAAGGAAGAAAAATGACTGGATTTAAATGCACTTTACTTAAGTGAAGGGTGAAGAGTAAGAGAAAATAATGTCAAGTTTCAGTAGAAGCCGCAATACTATTCCTCACACTGCACTTTTGGAATCAGATAAAGAAACTACTAACTTTGACGTGTTCCTCTCGGTCACAAAAAATATAATTAATAAATCTTTATTTTTTATTATTGCATGGAAATAATTAAAATAAATATCATTTTATAAAATTACAAATCAAAGTAATTTTTTAATAAAGTTAGTATGATTGATACTTATAATTTGAGACATTTAACATATTTATATTTTAATTTTAATGCAAATTTTAATTTTTTAAATACAAAAATTAATATATAAATAAGTAGTAATGATAATAATAATAATAATAATATAATTCATCAATATTTAAAAACATTGATTAATACCGAACACGTAAAGAGTTTATTCTAATTTAACATAGAAAATATACAGTCATCAATAAAATATGTGTGTTAAATATTCCTTTGCTGATATATTTATTCTCCATAACAAAACTGTCAAGCTTATGATTTATTCTTGAAAATCAATAGGAACCAGTGGAAGAAGACCATTTAAATATGCTTTTCTTAAACTTGAGTTCAGCCACATATCCAGTAGTTGTCCTTTATCAACAATTATTATTGACGTGGAAGATAAATAAATGATAAAACTCGTCAGCCAAAGAAACTATGACTAAGATATGGGAGCAAATGGGAATTGGTTGGGGCAAGGTGAGTGAGTGTAACACGTGTACCTGTTTCCACCAATTCATTAACGTTGATGTCCCTTTTTCTTCTCTTTCAGTTGTATTATGGATATGAATATGACATAATTTTCATTTTTCTTTTGTTATTATCGTGAAGAGGAACTCACTCTCAAGTTCATGAAAATAGGAAAAGAGACAAAGAGTAGTGGGCCCATGCTCCTGTGATGTCCGTGTACACTTTGTGCGGGTGAGGTTTTCTATTAAGGGTTAGGCTTTAAGAATAGAGAAATTACTTTTCAAGAATAAGGGTATGCAAGATTTTTTATAACTATCCTTCATTCCAAAACTTACTTTGAAGGTAGCATTTTATTACCAAACTGAGTACAATAGTAGCTGAAATAATTTTTTCACTATCATGCTTATATGTATTACATTGTAGCTTTTATCTATTTAAATAGATAATAACAAATCATGTTCACGTCATCATGGTGTAGCCTTTTCAACTCTTCCCACCATGCCATTCACTATGAGACCATTTTCATCTGTTCATGTTATTGGGCTCCTTGAAAAGTGCTTTTTTGTGAATGAGAGATCTTCACTACCAGACTCTACTACTAGCACTTTGAAGGAGGGCCCAGTTAGGTATATTGTATGGGTTTTATTAGCCCAATGAAATCCCAAAGGACAACACAAATAGCAACTAGCTAAAAGATTTAACATTGGAGCTTAAGAAGCATTTGAGGTGTCATGCTTTATGTTTAGTGCATCTCATTGTATATAGAAAGAGTAAGTTTAAATCCTCCTATCCCTTATTCCTACAAATCCTCCTAATTATTAAGTGAAAAAAGTATTTAATATATTTTATGTTTTCGACATAATAATAAATGAACATGTTCATTTAATACTTACTTATAAAGTAGTAGGAAGATTATTAAGAAAAATATTAGAAGGATAGAGGAAAACTCGTATAAAAAATTCACTAGATAAAAGAATGCAAGTATAGATCCTGAGCTGGTTGGATGTAAAGGGAACATTTAATCTCTTTTGCTTGGAGTTGTTGCCCAATGTGTCATTGGGCCGTGTGTTACACTATGGTCCTCTGATTAAAAGTAAGTAATGAAAATCTTTAGAGAGCATCGCTTTTTTAACTTTTTTGTATGTTCCAATTTATATATTCTTGAACATGATTGCTTTGTGTCTTTGCTCATTGATTGAAATGTGCTCTTTTTTATTAACTTGATGGTGGCTGTCTGTCTAACACGAACACAGTTAGGATAAAAATTGATTAATATTGGGGTAATCTTAGAGGTAATAAGGATACATACGAAGGGGAATCAAAGATCTATTAAGACTTTTGACTCTACTGTGATCTCACTTGTCCCATTTAATTGTGAAAGATGTAAAGTAATGTGGTTGATTTTCAGTTTTGGCTTAGCTTTAAGGATCAAAAGGCTTCTTGAACTTGGAATTTTTTCTAGTGATGAAGATGCTAAACTCGTAAATGAGAGGTTTAACAAAAGATGTCAATTCTTATGTTGATCATGTGGTGGAGGAAAGATGTTAAGATACTATACGCCCAACTGTCCTAATTACCAAGACAGGTCAAAGTAATCGCTAAACAAAAGTTTTAGAGTTAAAAAAAATTGAAAGAAAAAAAATAAGAGCGTCACAAAGAAGGAATTAAATTTGAAGCACCACATATAGTGTTGTCAATTTGGGCTGACCCCATTACACCTCAAGAAATTTTTGAGTTGATTCAACTAGGTTAATTTAATTACAAGTAAAACATTTACTAGTTTGGTAGGGTTGATAAAAAGAGGTACTCGGCTTGATTTGGTGTTCGACTTCTATTGAGTTGGATAAAAAAATAAAAAATACACAAGGCCTATACTTTATTCGGGTAAAAAAAATAAAATAGAAGTTTAAATTTGAGTCAAACCCACAGTTCACATTGAAATAGATTGAGTTGGCCTAAATTCAATTAAAAGTACTAAAAATTGATTCATACTTAAAATTTCAAGCTCAAGTCTTATATTTTTAGCAAACTTAATCGGTCATACCTAATCAAATTACCTCATTTTATCGTGTCTACGTGATCCAATCCTTTACAAGCCCCATTAGCAGAAATTTTTTAATTTAGTGTTTTTCAATATTGAATTTTTATGGACTAGAAGAAAAGAACCTTATCACTAGCACTTTCCAAACCGTATGCTTGGATGCTTGCAAGAAAGATATACTAGCTACTTGTAGATCTGTGTGGCTGGTTGTTTATTAAAAGGACAATTTGGGGGATAGCTTCTGTGTACGGTTGGTAAGGATGCAAGTGACAATTTTGTAAATTATAGTTTATGCTATTATTGAAATTGAGTGCTAGGACAAAAGGAAATTGTTCATAAATTTACTATTTGTTGACAGAATCTGTTGAAGAAAAGGGCCAGCATAATGTCTAAGCCAACAAAAGGTATACAAAAAGATTCACTCACTTTATCTAATTTTTAGTCAATTAATTCGTTTAGTTATAAATGAGAGTTTGTTTTTGTAATAGCAAGATTGCTAGAAGAGCTAAGAAGAATAATGATATTCATACACTCTAAAATTATTTCTATCTCTTGATACTTTTCTTTTTCTTTTTTATCATCTTCTTTCTCTCTCTCTCTCTCTCTCTCTCTCTCTATCCTCCACCTCCTATAGCCATAAATGGATTATACAAACATCATGTTTGCACTATGAGAAAAATAAGATGTGGGAACAACCTTCGTGTAAAGCATTTATATGTCAACTTCATGATGAGGTTTAAAATTATATCTTTTAAAAATGAGCAGTGGGATGCTGTTAGAAGATCCACATAAAATGATTTCAAGCATCATATGCAAATAACGTGGAGAGGCTGAATGCATTTGTTGTTGCTTGGTTAATATAAATTTTGGATTTAATTTCTTTAAAGTGTGATATATAAAGTGAGAAAATGTAAGCTTATTCTCTGATAATTTAAAAGTGGGTATATTTATAAGATACTTAAATTCAAATAAATGATGAATAAATCTTCACTCTTACTTTATACTTTTTTTACTTTAAAAAAAGTTAAATACATAAAATTCAATCATCTCACTATAGCAAGCATGCTTTCAACCCATACACAAGTGTGACGACATTCTTCATAATAACATAGCCGAGACATTCTACTCATTCATCTAGGGGCAAGAGATTCAGTAGGAGGAGTCTCACGAAAGAAATTCACTATGTTGCCAAGAAAGAAGGCATGGCTATGATTAAGTACATGGGACAAAAATGTCACAAGGATCATGATATAGCAAAAGAAATCTAAACACCAGTCTATTGGCCTAATATGCTATATGGCAGGACGTAGATGGGAGGTTCGAAGTTGAAGGTTCACATGGGCATACAAAAGTGGTCACCTTCAACAATCACACATGCATGTGGGTCTGGGAAAGTCTTGGAGCTACTCTAAGCAAACAAATATCTCGATTTGTTTGACACATCTTGTGGCATGTCTTCAATATTGGAGTAACACTAGTTACATTGCTTGCCTAGACATTTATTGGTGGTTTTAAATTTAAATTAAATATACTCTAATAGTACTACATTAAAATATATAGACTTGATTTTCTCTTATAAATTAACTCAAGAGATAAAGATTATCTAAACTTTAAACTTTATAAAAAGTATTGTAGCTATATTTTTAACTAATATGACATATCTTATAACAAATAATATGAATAGTTACCACTAACGTGGAGGCATTTTAATCATTAATACAATCCATTTATTTGTTAGTGGAATTTGAACCTAGGTGGGATAGCCCAGCCATCCTAGCATACATCCATAATGTGACCCTTCCCACCATAGAATGTGCAAAGCTTAATATCTACTCTTATGAGAGACTTGTCGAAGAGGGTGACCTCAGCAATATCAATAAGCTATCAAAGATAGCGCAATACCATAGTAACAGAAAACCGGAGAGAAAAATTGAAAGAATTTCTGTATTGAGTGAAAATGAACAAGTTTATAATTACAAAAGAGAACCACTTTGTAGTACAAAAGCTTCCAATGACTAGTTCATAATTTGATTCACGAGATAATCAGCTGAGGTGCTGTGATACGAAGCCGAAATTTTCCAGCTCTTTTAGAAGATAGCTATATCTTTATCAGATCAACTTTAACCATTTTTTATCATTTTCACAAACCTCAAGCGTAAGCGAGTGTAATTAGGGTGTAAAATACCTAAAATTTTAATGTATGATCCATTCTTGCCTGATTTGTCTAAAAGAGGCGAAGATTTGTCGGCTACAATAGTTTTGAATACAATATCTTTTTCAACAAAATCATAAGGATTTTTATTTGATCATTTAATTTAGATTAAAGAGAATATTTTTGTTTCCAGAAGATAATCTTATTTAAGATGAGGGTTTGCATATGGGTCAGACTATTCTAGAGCAATCTTTAATATTGTAATTTGAATTGGTGTAACGTAAAAGAAAAATAAATCTTCTTTGGAGACCAGTGAAATACAAAATAGTATACATATATAATTAAAATATGAAAGAAAAAAAAAAGCTAATAGAGCAACAAAAATGTAAAAATGAATAAATAAATATCTACCGTCTTAAAAAATTGTTTAAAATTTTAAGTTGTTATAACGATAAATTGTGATATACAACTTTGTATCTTGAGAAATAACATGAGTTTAGGCAAATAACTATTTAGACCAATCTTTCGAAAGAAATAATTATTTTCAATTTTTAAAAGAAAATATTCAAAAATGATTTTATTAAAAAAGAACTGAACAAACAAGACTTTAAATATGATTTCTTTGAAAGAAACAGAATATAAATAAAGTTTAAGATGTGCTTGCTTCAATCGCTGGTGTAATTTATTAGATTTTAAGGGATAAAATGAGATAAGAAAAAAGAAAGAAAGAAGAGTTAAATAAGGATATCGACAATTTATATACTCTTAATACATCCCATCTTAATATGTATAATTTAAAATTGATTATATCTGTAATTAATTATTATAGTAACTTTGAAATGATTAATTGTATAAAAAATTAAGAGTAAAATAAAAAAGTGTAAAACTACATGTAATAGTTGATTCTATAGTTAAGTGAAAAATAAATGAAAATCTAAGAAAAGTAATGAAATTGAAACAGAACAGGGGAGGGGTAGGGGCGAACTACAGTAGAGCGTGGGGATGCATGATGCATGATGCATGATGCATGATGCATGGGTGGATCCTTGACATTTTGATGTTCTAGAAAAAGGCAAAGAAATGGAATCTTATGATCTTTTTTCAAAAAGAATTTGTACGACCGATGTAGTCTTAACATAGAACAATACAGAGAATGGCTAAGGATTTCTAGATGCAGCTAAAGTGCAGAATATACTTTATATATGTGAACTCATTATCCATCTTTATGATCAATAACCAAAATCGTTTCTGTATTTTGGAAAACACTTTAAATATCTCTTTAATGTGTATTATTATTAAATTATGTGTGTATAAATACTTGTGTTTTGTGTTCGTGTGTCAACTGTTGGATACTGTGATCTTTTAGATGTGATTGGTAGTGTAAAGGACTTAATGACTTGAATGATAATGGACCTAACCCCTTATCTTGTTATTCATCATCCAACTCAAATAATGATGAATGTTTGCTTTCTTCCCCTCAAAAGATGATAAATGTATGTGTTAAAACATTTATATATTTTGCTCAAATTGCATGTTAACGAGAGGATACTGTGATCTTTCAGATGTGATGGGTAGTGCAAATGTGTTAATGACTTGAATGATGATCAACCAAACATTTTCTTTGTTCGTAGAAAACTAAGAAAAATATAACGTTACATCCCAATGGATGAATATACATTCTACCCCACAAAACCTCATCAATCTTTGCAATCTAGTATTTTCAAAATTAAATCGTTGACTCTTTCATATAACTTCAAAATTGACCAGTTAAATCTTTAATTCAAATCTTAAAATTTTAATTAAATATCAAATCAATTTTTATTATAAAAATTATATATTTTAAATATAAATTTAAAAACCCGTTTTTAACTTAATTTTTATAAATTTTTAAAATAATTTTAATTATTATTAATAATATTATAACTAATCATATTCCATTTTTTGAAATTACTGCTGCTGATATCATATGTAAATAATTTTAAAAATATATTTTATTCATACTAGTATAAAAATAAAATAATTTAAATCGTAGTAGCATATATCAATATCATGTATCATATATGTCGAGGCCAGCGCGTGATTGGTAAATTCCGTGCTTCTTGGTCTCATCCTTCTGCCTCAAAACGCTGCATCACATGTCACCGCGCGTGGTAAAACTTATGTGCAACTCACAGACAAGACATTACGAAATTTATTTAAGGAGAGCTAAATTTTTTTTTAACATAGTTTATTAATTAATTAAATTGTGTTGAAAATTATAAATAAATTAAGTAAGACTACTTAAAAATGAAATGTATATAATTTTTATAAAATAAGATAAAAGAATAATTTCAAAGTTTCTTTCTCTATTTCGATAGAGAAAAAAGAAAAAGAAAAAAAATAACAGTAGGATTTTTGAAAATATAAAATAAAAATAATTTTTAAAGACTAAAATAAAATCTAATATATTTTAAGAAATTAAAACATGTTTAATCCTAAATTATCAAATTATTTTCATCTCTCTCTTCCTCGGGCCTCTCTTATCTCATTCTCATATTTCTTTTGGTTGTCAATTTTTTTTTTCACACTTCACAGATAAAGATGTACCAAATAAGATTAATGTCCTCATTGATGAAAGTAGAGCCAATTGTGATATGCACTTATTTGAAGCCAAAAACACCTTCACCCCAAAAGATACTTCCTTCCCCTATTTTCACTGTGAGTAAAGCTGAAAATATATTATTTAAAAAACTCTTTTAAATATAATTGATTTATTAAAATTTATAAAAATTAATAAATTTCACTATTTCTAACTCTTATTGTCCTCTTCAACTTCGAGGCCTTCAAAAGGTCAAGCACAAATTTTTCAAAAAGTGAATTTAACTAAAAATGTAAGACATTGAACCTTAAAAAATTATTAAGCTTAAATTCATAAATGCAATGTATTAATAAGTATTATAATTGACAATAATAATTTTTTAATCAAAATATATTTATTAGGCTGATTGACTCGCTTGTAATAATAGACTTGTCGACTTTAAGAAAAATAAAGAACAAGAAAAATTAAAATGATTCTTTTTATATGTTTTTGACTTTGAGTGTTGAGATGGCATTACAGAATACACAATCAGAAATCACAGAAAAAGACAAAAACTTCGTGTGACACACATGTTCTAAATTCGCGTCGACTTGCTACTCCTTCGACCTTGATTAGTTGTCTTTTAACTGTGTTCTGGGTGTTGTTGCCTCAACCTCAAACAAAGTTTCAAGCCCCACCTATCAATCTCTTAAGTCCTTAACAATAGCACTCCTTCGTTGCTTCAATCACTTGCACTCTTTCCTTCAACGTAGAGAAAATGTTTTGCCAAAAAAATGGTGCAAAGGGGGAAGACCCAAGGCTTCAAGCCATTTCCGAAGCCATCAGAGTGGTGCCTCACTTCCCCAAACAAGGTCTTAATTTTTACTATAATAATCATATTAATAACAATGCTTACTTGTTACTATATTTTTCTTTCCTTATATTGTATCATACTATACTATATTATATTATATTATATTATATCATCATTAAATTAACCACAGGCATAATGTTTCAAGACATAACAACATTGTTGTTGGATCACAAGGCGTTTAAAGACGCGGTTGACATTTTCATTGATCGTTACAGAGACATGAGCATTTCCGTTGTTGCCGGTATTCTATACTATACTATGTTCTCAAGCCTTACCTTTGCATGTACTCTCCTTAAATTTTTTTTTATTGTTTTAAAGAAAATTGAATATTAATACTTTTATGTTAGTAAAGATCTTTTACCAGAAAGATGAAGAGAATTATGTGGCATTTTGTCGATTATCTGCACCAATCATGTTCTTCTTCTCTTTTATGTTTTAAAGGCCTTAATTTTTGTCCCTTTTGAAACCAACTAATATATCAAATATTCTGTATTTCTCACGTGTAGTTAAATGTATGTTGAAACTAGAAACAAAATTATGTTAACATTTTCCTGAAGACTCGGTTCTTAAATTTTGAGTTGAAGGGGGGTTTCTTCTGGATCAATCTAAGAGAGAGTATTTGGTAATACTTAAAAACAAAATAGTAACAAAATTCTGTAGGTAACTCTATTGGGTTCTCTTTGAAGGAGGTCTTGTAATAATAATGTAAAAAATAACTAACCGTGTAACTATATGAATCTCGTACCCGTACCATGTACCTCTTAATATGTAAACAAGCTGAGACATGCTTGTCATTGTAACATTATAAGCAAAACATGCATAGTTGACCGTCCACACTTGGGGCTTTGATTGGATCATTTGTTAATGTAATTGGATTGGATTATAAGCAGGAGTGGAAGCCAGGGGATTCATTTTTGGTTCCTCAATTGCGTTAGGCATTGGTGCCAAGTTTGTTCCTTTGTGCAAACCTCAAAAGCTACCAGGTAAACCTGTGTTATGTTGATCATTAATTGAGCACTATTATTATTATTGATCTTGATCTGTTTAAGTCAAAACTAGGTTATGGGTGCGTTTGGATGGGCTATAGAGAGTTTATGAAAATAATTTATAATCCTCATAAGATATTTTCAGCTTATTTTACTAAGCTTCTTTACATAGATTATCAAAATAAACTCTTTCCAACTTATACTTGTGTCAATAAGTTTTATGGTCAAATTTATGGTATAAAACTTTAATCCAATTGAATAAACGCTTAACTAAGTTATTATTCAGTGCACCCTATGTACCAACTTTGGCCAAAAGTAAAGAAGCTGAATGTAGATCATTTTCAATGGGAACCGGATGGCCCATTATGAGTGAAAGGCCCTGTCAATTGTCATACTTTTGTTGTTCATTATTTATTTAGTTACTGTTTGATTGTTAGTGTTAGTGGGTTACTGGTTTGCCCAAACTCAATTGGCTCCAACTTTCACAAGGGTTGCTTTATTGATTGAAACAGATATAGTCAAGCATCCGAGAGGAAGTACCTAAATAATTTCCCAAGTGCCATATAAGTATTGAATCATAACTTTAAGTGGAATCGATATTTGTGGCTGTACTGTTTCTTAGCTTGTCTTTTTATTAGTCTTCTTGATCTTCAATGAGCAATCTTATCAACTATTAGATATTTTCAAATTTAACATTTCTTGCATTAAATTTATAAAACCAGGATATTAAATAAAGCATGTTACTTCAAAATAGTTTAGTTTCTGCTTATTTCTATGGTAGTAAATGTTTGATCATGTGAGAGTAAGTTGAAATTAACTTTTGGGTCCAATAGCTATTCACATAAATGCAGGGAAAAGAGCTTAGACTCATTTAGCTGTTGTCTGTCAATTTAAACTACTAGTCCCAATGCATTAATTAATGTTCACATTTGTGCCTAACTTTTACTTACTTCATATTTAGGTGAAGTAATTTCAGAAAAATATGTTCTAGAATATGGAACTGATTGTTTGGAGATGCATCTTGGTGCTGTGAAGCCCAGTGAACGGGTCATAATTGTTGATGATTTGGTGGCTACAGGTGGAACTCTGTCGGCAGCAATTAGACTTCTAGGTGATTTCTCTTTTGCTCTTTATTCTTTTTTCCGGAATAAAGCACTTCTAAAGTCAGTTTGTCTCTGTAGTAAGCAAGTAAGGTTATATTTAACCTTAACTTTTTCTAAGTCAAGATCATGATGCACTTTAAATTAAATCAAGAGTGTTTCCACTCTTGTTTCTCACTTTAAAGGAGCCTTTTCCTTTTTTTTTCCCTGGTTCTTTTAATTCACTTAAAATGGTTCTATTATGTTATCTCAAGAATGCTTTATGGTTTTTTTCTACTTATTTTGTAGAACGTGCTGGTGGTGAAGTTGTGGAATGTGCTTGTGTCATTGGTCTGCCTGATCTGAAGGTATTAGCTGAATTACTGCTTTTATAAGTTGTGTTTTGCTAGCTAATCTCAGAAATTCCATCTTCTTGTTGTTGGTATTCCTATAGTAAAGTTACCTAAACAAATAAACAGATAAATTGAACTGATCATGTTGGTTTCCATCCTGGAAAGTGTTATTATATAAGCATGAATGACCCTGTCCTTGTAGCTGTATGCTTAATATGATATTATTAGCTTTCGAGATAATCACAACTCACTAAGAAGAGATTGTTTTCAAAATCCATTTCAATGAACGGATTACTATGACTCAAGCACACAAAGAGAGCTCAATAAAATAAAAATGAGACCTTTGCGGCTTAAGTATCACATTAAATTTTTTATTTTACTTAAGTGGGACTCATAATTCCTTCATCTCATCATATATTATTTCCGTCACAAATTTCTGTAAGGATTTTGCAGGATCAAGTTTGTTGAATTCCATGTTGTAATTTCTTATAGATGATATCACGGGAAGAAACAATGTCCTTTAACACACTTTCACTTTTTTCAAATCATGGAAATGAAACACTAATTATATATAAGCCTTTTTTCAGGTACAATGCAGGCTTAATGGAAAGCCACTTTACATTCTTGTGGAGCCACGTCAAGTAGAAAATTGTTTCTGAGGTGGAAAATCATATTGAACATATGAAGAAATGGTTGCATAATGAGCCTTTGGAATACTCTACAACCGTTTAGTTTGGAGGTCTCACGATGTCCAATACCCCCAGAGATTTCAAACAAAATTACTCAATGGAGGCACCATTTTGCTAATTTAGAAACATTTTAACGTGACATATATATTTTTCATGGGCTACCAGTCCTAATGGTACCTTTTTTTTTTATGGAACTTGCTTGGTTTTTTCTTTTGGTATATAGTTTAGGAGTTAGGACTAATATGCATGTCTCATCTCAATAAGGTTGTGCTTTGTAAGATATTAAGGCTTTGTTTATTCCTACCATAAACCTTCAAATTTTTGAAATTGAATTGTTTTAGTTTGTTTAAATTCGGTTTCACTTGTCTAGTAATAGTTTTTGTTTTAGGAAAAAATTTAAGTGCAATGCAATTGGTATTGTTGATGCTCTTCTTTAATCAAAATTGAAATTATACTTAAATAATTTGTATAATTAAAGTTAATATTAAAAGTTGGTACATATATATTCGTATTACTCAATTAAATTTTATCTTTTGATTTAACATTGACCAACTTCAACAAAATTTTAAAAGTAAAAGTAGACAATAATTATTATTTATAAATCAATTTTAACAGCTTTGATTATATGATAATTGATAATCAAATTTTATTGAAAATTAGTCGTACACTAAATTAGCATTCATTTTATGAACTTCATTTCGTGTAGTTGCATCCCCTTCTCTATATAGATCTATATGGTGTCTTTTCTTGGTTGAGTGGTGAGATCTCTTAAAACTTTGTTTGTAAGTTTAAAAAGAGAAAGAAAAAAAAAAGTTTAAAAAATAAGAGAAGATATATATATATATAAAGGAAGCAAAACAAAAGTTAATACAAAACTTCTTAAATTAAGATAATTTAAAAATATATAATTAACAGAATTTTGAAGAATTTATAAATCTTTTCTCTCTCATTTAAAAACTCTGAAATATAGATAAACATTACTTTTTTTCTTCTCTTCCTTTCTTCCCAAAAATTGACTCACAGATAAAGCTTAAAAGAATATAGCACTAGTAACTTTAGACTAACTCTATCCATTAAAAGGGGTAACCATTCCTCTTCCATTTTTGAAGGTAAGCATTGAATTGACTTTTCCTGAACAAAAAGCTTCTATACTTTTGTTATTACTACACTTGAATTGGTCATAACCGAAAGTAGGCACCTAGGATGAGAGCCGATCAATTTGGCTACTTTATTTATGGTATAAAGAAAAAAATTAAATTTAGATTTAGGGAAGACTTGCTCTCCTGTAAGGTTGGAAAATACTAATTTCAGCAAAAATTTGTAGTATTATATACTATATATAACTAACTAATTTTAAAGGAATTAAGGTTCACTTTGGTAAAATAGTTTAAATCTTATAACTTATAATATAACTTAGCTGAAAATTTATACTTTTATAAGTAGCTAATTAATTAAAAATACTTAGTAAAACTAGTTGGAACATATTAAATAATTTAAAAATGTATAGTATTATATCAATAAATCTTATAATTAAACGAGAAGAGAGATTTAAAATTTTTATCTATGTGTAATTTGTTTAAAAAAAGAGTATAAATGAGATAAAATTATTAGAAGTTATAAGTTGAACACTACTTTAACATACTATATTTCCTGGCTTGTTGGAAGCAACTTTGGATAACTATTAACATCTCATTTTTTTTCTTTAGGACTTGATTTCTGTTCATTTTCAATTACGATAATTTCTCTTTCGACAAAATTTAAATACGAATTAACAAAAAGTTTCTGTAAAAAAAATCCACCACAAACATTGTGTTCATAAAACAAGAGAACAAGCTGGGAAGAAAAATAAAAACTACTTCACAAATGTTATATGTGTTGCATTAAAAAAACAGTTATATTTAAACTCTTGCAACTGGAAGAAACAAAGAAGCCTGCATTTCTGCAGTAATTTTCTCCAAGTCTCTGTCTGCTTTCCTTTCTCTATTTCGTGTTGAAATGGTTTCTAAAATCATGCACAACAGCACAAGAAAAGCACAAACAAAGAAGCATCATATATGCCATGCATTGTTTATAGTTAACAAAAATATATTTAAGTCTACACGTGGAACTCGATAAATATTATGAAATAGTAGAATGGAAACAATTGCTAGTAAATTTAAGCTTTCAACATGATGCACTGCTCCATCAAACTTAACATAAATACATAAAGAGAAATTGTCCAAGAGCTTGGAAAACTAGTAAATTGTCAAAAGCACCTCCAGAAAGATGAAAAGAGCCAACATCAGATGAATTTGGAAAAATCCAGAATTAGACATGTCACTACCGCTCAAAGTGCTCCATCGCTTCCATTTGAAAGATTACAAACACTGTATTGAGTTTTTGGAGGGCAGAGAATTATATATCATTTATGATGATAAATATATGATTAATATATCAAGTTTATATTAATATATTAATTTGTATCTTTTATTTTAAAAATATTATTTTAAAAAAATTATTTAAAATAAAAAAATTTGTCTACCCTTCTCCTTTTATCTAAAATTTTCCTTTCCAAACAACTCCTAAAACAAAAACTCCATGGCATTATTATGTGCTGGAAGAGAACAATGGTCTGGATTTCCATTATTTACCGTTCTCGTCTGAAACATAGCTGAAAGATCTGGCATTTACTTTAGGCCTAGGAACGCCTTCTAATTGTTCTAGAATAGTCTGACCATATGCAAACCCTCTTCAATATTTGATAAGCCATATTGCACAAGCTTTTCTTCTATTGGATTTGACATGTCTTCCTCTAATATTAGGTAGGCCATCTGTTCCTAGTTTATATGGCTCATATGCAGCAACACTGCCATAATCTGATGCAATAGATGAACCACCAACAACAAATGATAAGCTTGAATGAACAAGTGATAGCACGGAATATGATCAGTCATCTGAAACATAATAGAAAACTGGTCTAACTCAATCCCAAAAGCGGGGATTAGCTCGAGTTTTATAAGGAGCCATGTTTCTAGCTAATGTAATGGATAGTCTCTCATACCATATTAAAAATTGGATCTAATTTACTACCAAAAGCCGCATCAGATTTGATAAAGAAGAAAGCGAACACTAATTGCAATTAATACGATGCTTGCAGCGTGCATAGAAAAAGGCGACATGAGACAACTCTAGCCATGGGGAGGGAGAATTGTGGTTCATATGAGCATAACCATTTACCAAAGAATACTGCAATTATAGGCAAAAAAGCAACCATTTCATAATTAGATAAGAGATATTTGCAGTCAAATTTTATCATTTTAAACTTTGACTATGTGAAAATTTCCATTTACATCATATTACTTGATGCTTCTGGTCCCAACTAATCCAAAGCTGGAAGATGGAACAAACAAGAAACACCAAAAATCTGGCATCTATACAACAATATTAATATTGTCACACAAAAACTCCAACCTGTACGATGATTGTGTGGCCATACTGTATGTTGTCCATTCTACCCAATAAGGACTTCCTAAAGTTAAAATAAAAAACAAATACAAAAATAAACGTAACAAAGGAAACAAATTTCAGACAATTACCGAATGGATAAGGAATGGTAGAATTAGAGATACAAATTCTCTTCAGTTTTGACGTAAACGTAATATATTTGCTTAAGTAAATTAAAATTTGTTTAAACAATCATGTAAAAACAAAAAAAGAAAAAGAAAAAACACACCCAAAATTGACTTAAAGCTTTTTTTTTTTCAAATCTGCATGAAGTGAGACAGTAATAATAGTTAGACCACTAGTGTGCAATGAGATTTTGATAACACCAAGCTCTCGGACTTTGGTCTTGCCAAAGATGGTCCAGAAGGTGACAAAACCCACGTTTCCACTCGAGTGATGGGAACCTATGGTTATGCAGCACCTGAATATGTCATGACAGTTAAGTTTAGTTGGATATGGCAAGTCCAAATCTGCAAGTTTCAGTTGTTGTCTATGACTAAATTCCCACATGCTCACACTTCATTGCTATTTCTATCTGATTATATTTTGTTTGACATTTCTTTTTTCTCTGGAGTCAGTTTTGTTATCGATAATCCCACATTTCTAAAAATTAATTTGGAACTAATTCCTTGTGTGGCTGTTTCAACATTTGCTACACACAATGTTCTTGACCTCTAATGTTAATTGTTTTAAGTCAGATTTATGATTAAGATCATAATTTACTGAAGAGTTGTCTATAATTTCCCAGTCTGTGAAGTTCAGTTGTGTTAATGGGTTTGATAAATTTGTTGCATTCTCACCATGTTTATAACTTCTGGAGCATTGGGTTCTATTATATTGCGCTGATAATTTTCAATTGTTTGTTCCAAATATTTTAAAATATAAAATAACATATTTAATATTTTATTGCTTATATTCTATCGGTTTTGCTTCTGTGGCAGGTCATCTTACATCAAAAAATGTTTTTTCCTAGTTGTACTACTGCGGATCTTTAGTCTTATGTTACAAATTATATTATAAGTAGTGTCAATAAGGTGATAATACAACTAATTTTATATTTACGAGGTCTATGGTTTCTCCTATTCTTCATTATACGGTGCACATTTGTTTTGCGAAAAGAACAGTAACAAAAAAAATCAGTTTGATAACCTTTGGAAAGATAAATACCACCCAAAACTCAAGACAATCAATGCATTAAATCTTGGAAGAGCTATTTATTTGTTTATTTTTAGACGATATCTTTTTATCAATAATTACAATAATTTAAAAATAAGTAATGTTACTCTCAACAAAAATAAATAAGAATTTTTTTTAACATCTTAAAAATAAAAGATTATTGTTAATAAAATTAAAATAAATGTAACAATAAAATTATAAATGATTATGCAGGGTCACTAAGTAGATCACAAAAAACAAAAATTTGATAACCTCTAAGTCTCATCAATCCAATAATATACCAGTGTTTGGTTTTATAATAAAGCTATATGGACTTAGGAGATATAAAAGCAAAATTATATTCTAACCTTTAAAATTGTAATATATTTTAATTAGATAAAATTATTCTTTTTATTCCTTAACTTTAGGATAAAATTTAATTTCGTTCTTTAACTTTTTTTGATTCATTTTAGTCCTCTAATTTTTAAGAAAGTTTTAAACGAGTCATTTTCCATTAAAGACCCTAACTCCGATAGAAAGTTTTGTCATTT